CACACTGAAACGAGAATTTAATCGATATTTCGCTTACTGGAAACCTTTTTATGGGCATATTGTTTTATTTCGTTGAGCAAATTATGTTGGGCTGTCCAGCCACTCCTTAAACCACCCTGTGGACCTCACTGTTGCAGCTTATAGCTGGGTACAGTTGTGCTCAGTACAGTGTAACACATGTTACTTGCACTTTTTGTCTGCCTCCATTGTTAATCTTTGCTGCTGCCGCCGCCTTCCTTCAGCTTCAGCTGTTGCGTTGCCCTTTTTTTGTGTGTCCATCCATCCACGCTGCCTCGTTGGGTTTCTCGCTCCACATGTTCGACTTTGGGCCTTATCATATGGGGTCTCCAGTGTGTACATCGTTACCGTTTTCTGTTTCTGTTTCTGTTTCTGCTTCAGCTGGTAGCTAACGTTTTAATTTCCTGTTCCAATTTTGTTTTTGCCGGACTTTTATGGATCTCCATTTCTCTCTCTCTCTCTCTCTCTACCACTTTTTCCTGCTGCTGCGGCTGCTGCTGGCTTACGAGGCAGTCAATTTTTAGCCAGAGATTTTGCTCTGATTCATGTTAGATATGGCAACGCCATAAAAATATATTCCATGCCCATCCATTAAGCATTTTGAGGTCTAATCATCTGGCCAATAACCTGCAGCGCCAGCTGTCACAGCTGTTTCGGTGGTGATGGAGGAGCCTTGGGCGCTCTCATATTCAAAATGGGAACAGGTGCGCTCAGGCGACCCCTGGCCCATGGCCCATGGCCCATGGCCCATGGCCCCAGCGTTCATTGACACTCCAACTCCAACTCCAATTCCACTCCAGTGTCTGCACGCACTGGACCACTTAATGACTGAAGAACAGCTGTTCGAGGTACAATACACCACACAAAGCGTTTCCAGATTACGCTCAAATTAGTGAAGCCAGAAGGCGTATCAAGGGTATTCCATTCCATTCCATTCCATTCCCCCCGCGAGAGAGTTCATTACGCTTCCTTTGCCCGCTGACTGATGGCCAGCAGAGTCAGCGATGGAGAACCGAGTAATTAGCCAAGAATGAGACCTCAAGAATAAGAATTAGCTAAGTACCCCCTCTGATTATCTTGCTGGAAAAGCAAACAGAAATGCAAGAAGAAATTATGGCATAGCTAAGGGGAAACAAAAGGGAACAAAAGTGAAGGCATGTTAGAGATCAGGGAAAAGTGGGTTCTATCTTTTATTTTGATTCCTGGAATAGGAAATTCCCTTCTCAGACTTACATTGAGCTAGCAAATATTTTATAGCTCTTCTATCTTTAGTGTTCTATAGTTCTGAAACGCACTGTACTCACACCTACTGCAGTGGAAGCTACACACACACACACACACACACTCCTTCCTGTCTGCTTGTGTTTCCCACCATCTAACGGGACTTGCGAATTGAGAGCAAAGCCTCAGAGAGAGAGAGCGAGAGCGAGCTTTAAAGATCTTCAAACGGCAGCAATTAAATATGGAAAAAAAAAGAGAGAAACAATTGCCGGTGCCCAATTGGCTTCTTGAGGCGACGACCCACGAACTCCCTCCCCCCGGTCAGGTCACCAGACCTGAATTGTGCAACGGTTAGTGGAACGTTAGATGTTGCTTATGTTGTGGCTCGTAATTATTTGTCCATTAGGCCAGACGCTCTTAAGATTTGGAACACGACTCCCCTTAGCGCTTGGCAATGCCAAAAAACAGCAGAGGTCAGCGGAAAATTTCTATTCCAAGAACCTCAAGTGATGTCAAAAATAGACACAAAAAAAGTTGACAATGGGCGAAGATGACTTGAAACGATTTCCCGACCATAATTCCCCCCCCCCCCCCCCCCCCCCCCCCCCCCCAATCCCCTCGAAGCCCACACACACCAACCGCCCAAACACAAAAAGGAGAGACAACACCCCACACCCAACAAACAAAAAACAAAAGAAGAATAATGTTTTACCTTGAGTTGTGGTCTAAAGTTCCGGCTGCGACTCATTTGCGGAGCTTTCATCGGAGCTCGCTCGCGCTCCCTCTCCCCACTCTCTTTCTCTGTCATCGTCTGCCCGCTTTTTAATCCATTTAGCTGCATGTTATGGCCCATCATCATCCGCCATCTATCTACCTGTCTTTCAGTATCTCTTTCTCCCTCCTTTAAATACTTTCCATTATTATTATTATTTCTGGCTCTTTTTGTTTGTGTTACCTTCTCATCAGCGAAACATTAATGTCAGTTGTCGTCACCCGGCAATGACTCACCCCCCACTCACACTCGCTCACACAAGCAGACCCGAACCAGCTGCTGTCGTCAGCTGTGAGACAGACTGGGAGAGAGAGAGCAACCCAAGCTCTCTCGCTCTCGCAGCGGGCGATGTGATTCTCGTTTTTGTATGCTGCCCGTGTGCCCGCCCCACCACCAAATGGGCCAAACGGTACTTTGCAATTTATGGCCAAAGCTTTGTCTTGGCTCAGCGGCAGAGTCAGAGTCAGAGTCAGAGAGAGGGACAGCGACAATATTGGGAACTGTTCACATTTTGGGCAAGAAGCTGATTCATATCGCGGGGCTTTTTGGCCATTCTCTCAAGTCCCCAATAAGCTACATCCTCCTCAGCCAAGCAGCTGTCCATCCATCCAGCCAGCCAGCCAGCCATCCATCCAACCATTCATTCACATCCGCCATTGACAACAACAACAACAACAACAACAGAAAAGTTAATTAAAATGTATATTTTCTAAGCCATGCTAAGCTGTGGCCAACAGCGCTGAAAGCGGCCCGAGCTCTTAAGACACGACCACAACGGCAACCGCAAAGTTTAAGAATCTCATTTTGGATTAAGGAAACTGAGTTTTCCCTCTCTCTCTCTCTTTCTCTGCAGATGAATTCGAATAAGTGAAAAATGTCTAAAAGCGGATAATATTTCAATTAAAAAGTATACAAGTTTTGAGGGGAACATTTTTGATAAATCTTTGCCAGAAAAATTACTTTCTAAGTGAAAAAAAGCTACAATCTATCACTGTTTTGAGTTGTTCCTATCAGTTCCTAAAATATTATAATCTCTAATAGAGTTCTTTATCTTTCGTGCTTTTCGTGCCTTTGTAACCTGTCCGAGCACGCACGAAATGAAGTTTTGCAGTGCCCCCATCTCTAGTCGCTTGATGTGTCAGTAGGTTTTTGTCTTTGTGACTTGATTAATGCGTAATTTTGTATTGTTAATTGTGACACACATTTACATACTCACGATGGATGCCCGCTAGGGAGCCGCTCCCACAGCCTGCTGCTCCCCTCTCGCTCTCTCTCTCTCTCTCTCTCTGTCTCTCTGCGTAAATGGAGCGTGGCTTTGATAGATTATTGCGTTTGCCATGAGTTGTTCTGCTCCCATTGTCCCCCCATTTCCTATCAGCAGCCCCTCCTTCAATGCAAAAATCAATAAAGTGCCGCAGTTAAACAATTTTTTCTAGAGATAATTATGTACTTGGCACAGGCTCAGCACAGCTCGAAAACGGTTTTTTTTATTGTGAAAAAAACAATTGAAAGCGACTGACTTCCTGCTGCTAAATGTATTTATTATATTTCCTGTTTTTATTTTTTAATGGATACCCAAAGAAGAAAGACAAAGAAATGTTGAAAAGATTCTTGTATAAAATATTTCTGCTAAAGAAAGAATATTAATCAGGATTTAAATTGAAGAATTTGATCTGGCACTGGCAATTATTCAGTTCCTTACATTATAAACCCCAAGATCATAACGTGGTACAGTCGCCGCTGCCCTTGTTTGGATTTTTCAAAGCGTCTAAATTTGGTTTTCTGTTTGTCCGATTAATTGAATAAATTTCGAGTCATTTGCCGTTTTGTGATTGTTTTTATTAATTTATGGCTGCAAAATTTCTGACACCTTCATCAAGATGCCGCATGTGGCACGTAAAAGCATGTGCGCACGCGAGAGGGAGAGAAAGAGAAAGAGAAAGAGAGAGATGGACCTCAACATCATGACGATGATGATGATCAGCGAGCGAGCGAGGCTAATTGAAGGCAGAGCAGCAACAACTGAACATAACAGCACAGAACAGAAACAACAGGCAGAAAACAACACGGAACAAAATGAATATTAATTGTTTTAAATAATTTTGAACTTGGCAAAGGCAAAAGGCAAACCGTAAGCAGCACAATCCCCCTGACAAACAGACAATTTGACGAACGCTTTTGTCCCCGTGCGCTGCGCTGCTCCTCCCCTGCAGGCAGATGCCTCTCTGGTCCATCTTGAATATTTCAGTATTTGCCCAGCCGACGCAGCTGTTTATTGTCGCACACACTGCTTTTTGTATGATTTGAAAGGGTATGCAATTTAGTGAGGGAAAAAAGTACACCCACAAGACATCCCTGCAAAGGCAGCTTTATTGAAATTCGAACACAACTTTCTTGCTTCATTGCTAAAATCGATCTAAAGGGTATTCTCTAGTCGCCTTCGTTCTCCTTCCGTCTGCATAAGGTCTTTCGCTGTGGCCTGTCTCTGCAGCCCATCCATCGACAGCAGTTGGACATTTGTCTGCGTCATTCGGCTTTCGTGGCGGCAGGAAGAGCAGCAGAGAACCCGACAGAAAGCCTCGGCAGAGAAGCGACCGACCGACGCGACGCGTGTTTGCATAACAGAATTTATGGCAAGGAGGGAAGCAGCGGAGCGCCGGCAGAAGCTTCATATTTGCGCAATGCACATGAAAGCTCAAATGCAAACTGCCGTTACCGATTTCATTTCATTTCACTTCATTCAGAGTGCAATGCAGTGCGGGATAAACGTAGAGAGCTAGAGGGAGCCAGGTAGCTAGGGTAGAAGAGAGCGAGCTTGGGGGCACACACAGCTGATTTTGCTCGGGTGGCTGGCTGGCTTGTTGTTCTCTCGCCTTCTAGCACACACATACACACAAGCGCACGCTCGCTAGCTCCCTCACTCGCACACACTGCCAGCCAGGCCCCAAAGCCCGCTGCGCTGCGGCAAAGGTGCGCGTGCGGTCGCGACAGACAGACAGTCTTCCGATTCTGCTGCCGACGGCGGGCCGCGTACGCACGCAAAAAAAAAATAAAGAAAACAAGAGAAACAAAACGGAGATTAATGAAAACAACAAAATATTCACAATAAAAGAAACGCATAAAATAAATAACGGTACGGCTACGCGCGCTCGACTCGTTTCTGGTGTGCGAAAATTGAACGAAATAAATGAAAATCAATTGAAAAGAAACAACAAAACAACAAGAAATGAATTCCAAACTGAACCGAACTGCCTAACTCACCCCCCCGCCAAGTGACCACCAAAAATGACACAACAACAACAACAAAAACAACGGGTGCCCCACTGTCATCAGCATCGACAACGGCAATCAGCGCCAGCGTCAGCATCTCCGCAGCGAGCGAGCGAGTGTCAGCGTTGAGCGTTTCAATGGACTTGAAAAACGCGTTCGACACTCGATTAACCGGCCGATGCCCGCCCCCTCGTAACCTTCAAAAGTTTGTCATGCAACTCGGACAGGCCCCCCCTCTCGCGCCCTCAAGGCATCTGTGCATTGATTTTCGTGTAACAGTTCCTTTTGTGAGCTTTTTGTGGGGATCGCTTACAAAGGGTGAATGCAGTCTAAAAGCTCTTTCCAGTATCAAATAATCGAAGCTCCCATTATTTCGATGATTGATAATGGCAAAAGCCAATTTGTTTGCCTCTTTTCATGCTTTTGCTTTCCAGCACGCTGATAAGGCAGAGCCTTCCCTCTCTCTCTCTCTCTTTCTCTCTCTGTGTTGCTCTTCGCTGATTGCTATCACGTTCTGTGTTTTCTGTGGAACTTACAATGATTTCCCAACCTTTGATTTCTTTGCCATGTTTGTTGCACTTGTGCCTTGGGTTGACTCACGAATTGACATCGATCAAAAGAGGGCAGCGACTGGCTGTTTCGATGCGTTAGTTTTTCGTGCCCGTAATTGCCATTAATTAAGCGAGCTTTCTGGCGTTCGTTCGTTTGATTTGCCATGATAATTTATACGCACTGGGGAGCACGCGTAGAATAAGGGAAATTACTCAACTTTTACGCGTCTGTCTGGCCTGTCTGCCCTGTCTGCCTGTTTAAATAATCATCCAAGAGTGCGGATTGCGAAATTGCGGTGCGAATGTCAAACCAGCTGGATAAATGCATCGACATGACGTAATTCACCCTCACCCCTCAGTTGAGTGGCCTCCAGCCGCCTTCGCGCTAGCATTTATGATCGAAACCGGTTCACCGTTCGGGTGGGGGTTATATATCAAAACCCTTCCCCCAGTTTTCCCCAGTGTTCCCCCAGTTATTGATACTGATGTTTCCTCCCACACAAAAGTGTGTATCCTAAGCGGAAATAAATGAAATCTAAGCCATCAGAGGATGGCTGTGGTCGAGATATTTTATGCTGAAAGATAAATCAAAGCGAATCCAAGACATTCAATAAACTAGTTGCTCAAAGTAGTCCTTATATGGCCATGGCTTATGCCAGTTCTAGACTTCAGACCTAAACACATCTGCCACAACTTCGGGCTGCAGCTTCTTGGCTCACTTTGGTCCACGCTTTTGGCCTGATTTTAGCTCATTTGCTGCCATCACACAGAGCTCTTTGCTGTGGCCATTATGCTGTTAGCATTATGCTGTCACGCTTTCAATGAGTCAATGCTTGGCTTGGCTTGGCTTGGCTTGGCTTGGCCCTTCATCTGACACACAAAGAGCTCGCTGGCCATTACATCATCCAAAACAGCAGCCCATCAACATTAATTCTGTGCTGTGTTGTGGCCTGATCAGGTTCTCGCTTTGGTTCCAGCCTATATCTTATCGTACCTGTGCTCTTTTATGGCTATTCACTTATCATTGTAATGCTCTCTCCCGCTCTCCCTCTATGGCAATTTCCACACCTTTGGACACTTACAACGTGCGTCGCAGTTTAGTTTCAACAGCAATTACCCGCCCACATGCACACACACACACCAGCAGACACATAAATAGACGCCCAGAGACGACTGATAGCGTTTATGGGAAAAGGGGGTCCAGGGGGAGGGAGGGACAGCATTTTCCATTGTCTTGTGCCTCTTGTTTCTTCTTCTGGGCGTAGTTTAGTCATTTTCGGTTCGGTTTTCCTGCTGAATTTCATCATCCAAAACAGACCCCAAGCTTTAGTACTACTCATTCCAGTCATAAATCGAAATATCAGCATTTATGCCAGATGTCATTGTGCAGAGTTTTATGCCCAAACGTTGTCCGAGATCAGGCACATCAAAAGCCTTTTAATTGATAGATCAATATCGCGCTGATTGGTTTTTTTGTTTGGTGCGGAAGTAAAGGGCTGCTTGCACTTATCTGAAGTGATATGCCCATGGGCATGGGCATGGGGGAAGCGACATGTGTGCTCATGGCCATGTCCCAGCCCAACCGTAGGTGTCTCGAGCCGTTGCATATGCCCCCTGTGTGTCTGCCATATGTTCCGTTTCATTTCCATTTACTTTGCTGCCATAATAAATGTATCATTGAGACAGGTCCCACCCCCCTCCTGCTGACCATTTATTGGATTATTGGAAATACTTTCTTGGACTCTTTTTTTTCCATAAGCCTAATTGATTCCCAGAGCAATTCTCTCTCCTCCTGGCACGCTCCTGTCCGGGCCAATGATGTGTTCAAGTTTCCAATTTATTTTATATGCACGGCCCAGGGGGTGCAAATATTTCTGCCTTCGATTCGGGTTTGCGCTTTTAGCGGAATTTAGTTTTAGTTTTAGTTTCAGTTTTGGGTCTTCGCTTGAAGCGTCGCGACGTTTGGCGACCTGAAATGCGAACCAAGAACCTGACGTGCAAATATATTTGCGGACTGCTCTGTGACCACAAAACGAGGTGCGTGGCGCGGGTTGGACAATAATCAAATTACTTTATGTGACTGTCCGTGTGACTGTCCGTGTGTGTGTGTGTGTTTTTGTGGTGAAATTCTCTTATCGTGCGGGGTAATGGTAAATGGCAGCCACGATCGATGAGGAGAGGCGCTCATAAAAATGTCACTCGATGAGTGCCCCGAGCCAGAGCCTGTCGCACGTGTTGCCTGGAGCTTTTTCTTCAGCGGAGACGCACGACTACTGCTAATTTCCTTATCGAATCGATAAAACACACTGACAGAAAACACACTCTAAAAGTTCAACGGAAGGCCTTAGCTTTGGCATGCACTTTCTAGAGGCTTCCCTTGCGATCTTCCAGTATTTCCCTGCGAGCCAACCTTCAAGCTAAGCTTTCCCCATGCACATCTGGCAACCTCGCAGCCAATCTTGGTGTGGCATCCTTAACTCTGTGGCACTTATTGGGTAACCTATTGCCCCCAAGTGGCGCCACCATCAGGTGTCCGTGGAGTATTCAAATTCCAAACCTAAATGACAATGCGGGGCACCAAGCATTTTCATTATCTACAGACAGATAGGGAGTGGTAGAGGGGGGGTAGTTGGCAGGGTGGAGGTTGGATAAGCTGCGACGGCAACTGGGAAGTTGCCTGCTCGTTGGTGGGTGTGGGGGTGCCCATGCCTGGCTGCCTCACAGCTGGAAAATTGGAAAAACAAATGCGCAGAAATGCCATAGCCATTACACACAGCCAGGGGCACAAAAATAGTGACTGGCAGAGCAATAATAAAGGAGAAACAAAGTCAAAAGCAGGAAAAATCAAACTTCTAGCGCTTACAAATGTTCGAATCTACCTGCCCAAAGTCTCGTAATTATTTTGTCCTATTTGGTTGACCTCTGCTGTACATGGATATGTGCTTTGCTCAGCATTTTGTAGCTTTATCAGCACGCTCCGCTGGCTCGCCGCGCTTTTTGTGCTTGGTCTGTGAGGAAGGGCGGACGCTCGCCGGTGGGGGGGTTTGTGTCGTAGGCATAATTATAATCACAAGTGGGTTTATTTTTTAAGTGCCCAAAAACCAACTCCACTCTGCTGATAAACAAATGTGTGTTCTGGCTCTCCGCCATTCATGGCACCGCGCTACGCACTTTTCTTTTTGGTTCTTTCCCTTTTGTATAAACAAATGAAAAAGTAGAACAGAAATTGTTGATTCCTTTTTGATAGGATTTACGAGCACATAAATTTGTTTGTTGGCAGTTTTTTTGGAACTTAAAATTCAGATCAAATGAGCTTCGAGGCATTTGGAATAGTTTAAGTTAATTTTTAACTCAGAATTGCTGCAGTCTTCCCTTTGATATATTTGCTATTCCCCTCAAATAATAAATAATATTATTTTTCTTTTAATATTTGCACAAAAAATCATGAACGAAGTGGCAAGCGACTGATCCTCAGTCGTTGCCTCGCTCCACTTTATTTATTTATTAATGAATTCATTTACAAACTTTAACAAATTTAACAAACTCCAAAAATAACTTAACTAAAACAAATTCAAAATCATTGTCCGTGCACAGTCAGGGGTTGGATCATGTGAGAAGATCGGTTCAGGATCAGTGTCAGGATCGTCTCTGGCTCTTACATCTGCCAGCTGGGCTGTCCGCACACGCACTGGCGAATCCTGCGCTCCAGGTTGCGCACATTGTTGATCAGCTCCTGGCAGAGATTCTCCCTTTCGGGGCATCCCTTGCAGGCTGGACCACCCGGACCGCAGGAGCCGCATGAAGGCTTCTTGGTGGTGGTGGTGGGCCTGGTGGTGGTCCTTCTGGTGGTCCTTCTGGTGGTTCTGCGAGTTGTCCTCTTGGTGGTTGTTGTTGTTGGCTTGCAAGTGGTTGTTGTTGTTGTTGTCGTGCAAGGTGTTGTGGTTGTTGTTGTTGGCCTGCAAGTGGTTGTTGTCGTGCATGGTGTTGTTGTCGTTGTTGTTGGCCTGCAAGTGGTTGTTGTTGGCCTGCAAGTGGTTGTTGTTGGCCTGCAAGTGGTTGTTGTTGTACCTGGGCATCCACACGCCGATCCTGTGGCCAGATCAGCCAAGCTGATGAGCAGGATGCTCGCTGTAAAGTGCAACGAAAATTGATTTAAATTCAAAGTCCAGCTCCGACACTACCCACCAATGGCGCATGCAATGGTGGTCTTCATGTTGGTTTCTGTCTCGTAACTGGGATTAACTTCTGCTCAAACTGTGAAGCCACAAACTGATGCCTTTCTTGGGGCAGCCTTGGGCTTTTATAGGCCACCCATCCGCCGACCAGCCTGGCTACACGTATTATTTCAGTGTCGTTTACACAGCAACTTGATAAAAATGGATCAAAAACCATTTGTCTGTAGAGCAAATAAACCCGAACTGCGGCCTGATCGAGGGCTAAGAATAGCGAAACGTGCCAACATTGGGGCACTGCGTGGGACGCGTGTGCGCCCAAGTTCAAGGTTGCTTCGGGGCCATGCAATAGTGGCAGCCTTCCTTTACTAGGCACAGCTGCAGGCTGGCAACGCTGGGGAGTGCTGCCAGTGTGCGGAAAGTGCAGGGAGGGCTGCCACATTGGCAATCTTCACTCACAATTGTTCTCGATCCTCGAACTACTTTAAATGCTGCGGCAAAAATCATAGAACTAAAATGTGTACACAATTCTGCAGCATGATTCATTGCCTTGGGTCTCTGCTTAGTAGCTAATTTTCAAGGCACATTTGAATCTGCTCTGAGGTCCATTTCGAGACATGTTTATCGCCTCTAAGAACGACCGAACTTGCCCCTGCGATTGCTCTGCCGCTTGCCAGCGACAAACACAACTCTCTCGCGAGAGACATTTGAAACGCGTCACTTGGGGCACACGATCGGTGCGGTTTGGTTGGGTTGGGAGTCGTGGAAACTTTTGCTTAGTGTTTTCCCCCCTGTGCAGGAGGCAGGATGATGACCAAAGCAATGTAACCAAACCAAAAAATGAAAGAAACTTTAAGCTCAAAGGTGCCAACAACACAACGAAAAGCGGGTGTAACATTCGAGTCCATAACGGAAACAAAATCAAAGCTAAAAAGTGGTGCTGCCAGTGCCAGTGCCAGTGGCAGTGCAGCAGCAACGGTCCCACCGCCACCGCCCTCATCCTATGTGATTAAATGTTTATTGAAAACGGCGCGTTTTATGTGGCAAGTGACGACAATACCCGCTAAAATTGGTGATACAATAGGCACACTGTATCGCTATGCACAGGACTCTGTTGATACATTTCTATGCGTAGCTGGGTGAGAATTCGGCCCCCAAAAATATATGATAATAATTCTCCCAGCAAAAGTGTGGCCCAAAACTAATTGAAATTCTCGTCTTTTTTGCGTCTTTGCAGCAAGGCTCGTCGCAAGGAACGCGATGGCGATCAAAATTCAACAGACACCAAATTGTATTTGGAGGAGAGTGTCCTAGAACGTAAATTACCTGAAGCTGATCTCAAAGCCTTGGTGGATCTGCCCGCCGGCTTGGACTACAACGAATGGTTGGCGTCACACAGTAAGTAGCAGTCCAAACAGCCCCCCCTGTTTCAAGTATTCATCATTCATTATTCATCATTCGCGTTGTTCTCTGGCCCGAAGTTTGCGCTTTTTACTCACGTGATTTTTACACTAACAAAGGGGCTAAACTCTGAGCAGCTAAGACACGGTTTAGGCTTTGTTTTAAGTGTTAAATTATAGCTCCAAAATTCAAATTTTAAATGCATTAAAGAAAGGCTTAAACAAGGCATTTTTTAGCTCATTTTGCTCACTTTATCTTGCCCCCAAAAAGAGCATTTCGAAATCGTTTCAAGCTTGCAATCTTTTGTGGTTCTCTGTTTGTTTTTGTTTACGAATTGCCTTTGATTTATTCACGTCTACCAAGGCAGCTATTGTTGCGCCCCAGCTTTATCGTGTGATTTATAAATGAGTTTTAACGAGTCCCACAGGCAGCGGCAGAGTCCCACAGCTGCGTCAGCTGATTTTGCTAGCCTAATCGCAATTTCGCAGCGGCCTTGGCCGCGGCAGTGAGCAGCGTTAGAACCCGAACGTCTAACGATCGATGCGCTGTGGATTAGCCAAGCCAATGAACCCGCCGAGCAGTCTGAACGATAGCGGAGATCTGGATGAGATATAGAAAAGATTTAGGTCTCTGTTTTCCATGGTTAAACATGCTTTTGGTGCTCCCTCAGCTGTGGTTCCCTTTCGAGACAGTTTCCCATCACAGCACCACGCACCAAAAGCTGCCCTAGACCCTACTGAAACCCTCTTTATCTTTCTTTATGCATACATAATGAAGTATCATCATCTAATCTGTTATCCCCCTGGCCGTCCTGCTGTGAGTCACATATTAATTAACTCGCCCAGACCGCCGCCCGCCGCCCGCCGCCCGCTGCTTTATTTGTGTTTGCATTTGCCTCTTGCCATTGAACGGGGCGAGAATCGATATCTGAGAAATTACATCATCCTGTAAGTAATCTTCTGCCGCTGCTGCTATACAAATTACACGGCTCTTTGTTGCCAGCAAAGTGAGGCGACTAATTGGCTATGTGTCAGCAGAATTGTAGCTGCCATAAAGCAACCCAAAGGCGGCAGCAACACCCACACTCAGCCATCGATTGCTGCCATTGCTGCCCGGAGTCGATGCTCGATTCATTCATATAATGAATACTCGCTGAAGCCTCTTGCTGCTCTTGCGGCCAAAACCATTTCTAATCCCACAAATCTCTAATCCAATGGCCACACTCTCCATCTCCTTGCAGCTCTGGCTCTCTTTGAGCATGTGAATTTGGTTTATGGAACTATCAGTGAATTTTGTACACAATCCGGTTGCGCAGACATGACTGGACCAGGCAACAGGTAAGCTCTGACACACTCCTTTAATGGCCAAACGAATTGTAATAAATCTTCCTTGCAGAACGTACTTATGGTTCGATGAGAAGGGCAAGAAGACGCGCGTGGCGGCGCCTCAGTACATCGACTATGTGATGACATTCACACAGAAGACGGTCAGCGATGAGTCGATATTCCCAACCAAATATGCGAACGAGTTCCCTGGGTCGTTCGAGTCGATAGCGCGGAAGATCCTACGCTTGCAATTCCATGTGATAGCGCATCTGTATGCGGCGCATTTCCGAGAAATTGCGCTGCTCGGCTTGCACACCCATCTAAATTTGACGTTTGCGCACCTCACCGCCCTGCATCGGCGCTTCAACTTGATCGACGAGAAGGAGACGGATGTGCTGCGCGACCTGGAGGTGGCCCTACGCCTCACCGACGACAGCGGCGGCCAGGATACGTCGTCATCGTCGGTGCACGAGCACTCCTCCTCCTCGTCCTCGCCGCCGGTCGTTGCTGCCGCAGCCAGCGCAGGCTGCGATCAGCCGCAGCACAACAATAGCAGCAGCACCAGCAACAGCACCTCGTCCGCGGAGGCGCTGCATGTCAATTCACAAAGCAACAGCAACAGCAACAGCCACACCACAAACGCCTCGGCGTCAGCCTCTCTCATCGATGGGGATGCGGCGGCGCCGCCCATTTGCACCCAGCCGGAGGCCGGTGCGGGCTGCAAGCCAGCCGGCAGCAGTGGCCTACTCGGCGGCATACTGGGCGACCTGACCAGCGGCGAATTTGGTGATACAACGCGGTACTGCACCTCGGCGGTTCCTCAGGCAGCGACGTCAGAGGACGGTGCCGTCTCCTCAGCGGCCCTGAACAATGGCGCGGGCGCATTACATTTAAACTTTAGCAACAATAATAACAATAACCACAATCTGAACCATCACCTACACCACCATCACCACCACCAGCATCATCACCAGCATCATCACGGCCATCACGGCCATGGGCATCATCAGGCGCCGGCATCCGGCCTCATACAGTGCAATGCGGTGGGTGCCGGTGGTGGCAATGTGGCGGCGGCGGTGGCGGCGGCTAGTGGCGGGCAAGGAGCTGCAACGTCTGCAGCATCCTCAACGGCATGAAAGGAGCAGCCACAAAACAACAACAACAAAAAACATTAGAAATATTAGAGTTACGCAAAAATGTTATTTAATGTTACTTCTATGATCCTAAAGTTGAAAATATTGTAAAAATAATAAACAAACAAAAAAAACAGAAAACAAACGAAAACGAAAAGCAAAAGCAAAGGCATAGAAAGAGCCACAAAATAAGCAAAGAAAGAGCCACAAAAATATGCTAAAGAGAGAGAGAGATAAATATTGTGAGACATTATTTAGTAGTTGCATAAGTTTCTCGGGTAGCACGTTGAACTAGATTATGTACCAAACCATAAATGTATAGAGTGCTGCAAGCAAAAGCAAAAGCAAAAGCAAATTAGTGTTTAGACAGTTTGTCGCTTCTGCTTACTGGATAGTACTTTTAGAACCGTCAGCCAAACCACATCGTGTCACAAACAAAAACAAGAGTAAAACAGCCACAAAAAGTTCTATGAAAAATGTATACAAAAGCCAGCTGGAAGAGCAAGGATTTTACCAGGATAAGGGGACAAGCGTGTGTATTGAAATTTTAACATAGTCCACGTCCCCACAGCAATTTAAGCCAATGTTTTAGAATGTGTTGGAATTTGTTCTTGTTTGTGCAATCTGTGCATTGTGTGATAGAGTATTCTCGGCATTGCTCTAACTGTGCGGCTGTTTGGGAGCGGGCATAAAATATACAAAAATAAGCACGTACCTCTCGTAACTCTAAACATGCATTCCGAGCCGCAGAGTATGCACCAAAGTTGACACCTTCACCGACTGCGGCGCGGCCGCCTAAAAGTATGCACGAAATATTTTAACCAAAGAACAGCAAAGAGCTGTGTCGATTCCCAAACCCATTAAGAACGAAAAACGATTACGATTAGCATTTTTAGCAGCCAAAAAGAAAACAAAACAAATGTTAGGCGTGGTACACCTCTCCCCATGTAGATAACAAATTCCACAAACAAAAATCTCAAACAACTGTCCACTAAAATGAACACAAGAGAACACAAGAGAACACACCAAGCACTCGCAGTTGAGCAAAATGATCTGCAGGAGTGTTGAGCTATCAATAGTGCACCGAAAGGTGCAAGCAGCAGCTGCAACAAAGACAAAAAACAAACGAATGCAAAAGCTATGAGAAGCATTGAAGAGAGATAATAAAATATGTAAACTGTTATGTTCAATTTAGGCGAATTGTTTTATTGCTAAAACAAATACTTTCCGATACCCTGGAAGATTCATTCATCGTTCTATAACTGAAGTCAAGCAATAGTCCATGGACTGAAGATCGACTCTTTCGTTTGCAATCGAATTTTCTCCAATGAAAAACAAATTATGAAATATTTTGCAACAGTATGAAATGATTGGAAGGCGGCGACCAAAGTCCGCATTCCGCACGGGTTTAATATCGTTAAAAAGTCAATTAAAAACAACAGGAATGGATGAAGGTATAACAATTGTGGGACAGAAGCGTAGTCCAAGTTGAGCAACGCAGGCATCGATCACAACAGGGAGTTGGCTGAAGGATGATTTACTTCCTGCGCTCAATGTTGTGTTGATCAACACAGGGACTCTTGGTTGTGGGCTTCTTGGTGGTTCAAAATCGTGGTCCAGTTCGAGCAGTCAGAGTTCGCATAATCACAACAGGGTTTCGGAGGCTGAAAGTTGATCCACTTTACATCAACCAATCCTTTTGTCCGCACACGCACTGGCGAATCCTGCGCTCCAGGTTGCGCACATTGTTGATCAGCTCCTGGCAGAGATTCTCCCTTTCGGGGCATCCCTTGCAGGCTGGACCACCCGGACCGCATATGCTGCATGTAGGCTTCTTGGTGGTGGTGGTGGGCCTGGTGGTGGTCCTTCTGGTGGTCCTTCTGGTGGTTCTGCGAGTTGTCCTCTTGGTGGTTGTTGTTGTTGGCTTGCAAGTGGTTGTCGTCGTTGTTGTCGTGCAGGGTGTTGTGGTTGTTGTTGTTGGCCTGCAAGTGGTTGTTGTCCTGCGAGTGGTTCTTCTTGTTGTTGTCCGGCAGGTGGTTGTTGTCGGACAGGTGGTTGTTGTCCGGCAGGTGGTTGTTGTTGTACCTGGGCATCCACAATCCGATCCAGTGGCCAAATCGGCCAAGCTGATGAGCAGGATGCTCGCTGCAAATGTTGAAATGTGAAGAGGATAAAGAATAAAGGATACAAATGGATTATTAACCGATCCTTTGTCGGGTCTCTGCGCTACTTACCGATGATGGCAATGGTCAGCTTCATGTTTTTACGTGTTAATTGACTCGTTCAGGTGAGGAGATGCCACAGACTGATGCCTTTCTTGGTGCAGGCTTCCCTTTTTATGGGCCCATTTAGGGCTAGACATGGATCCATGTGCCAAAAATGGACGAAACATTTGTCGAAATGCAAATATAAACTTGAACGATAATTATAGAAAAATATGTTACAGCTCCACAAAGTTCTGGAACAGCAGAAGGCCGAAAGTAACTGAAAGTCAATAATTTATTAATAAATGTGGATGTGAATGTCCATGGTAAATGGTAACTGGTGTATGGTACATGGTCCATGGCATAACAGATCAAATATTCATGTCCTGCCATCTTCACAGCTTTCATCGAATCGCCTTTGCCCCAACTAAGCTTGGATATTTAGTATAAAGATGGAGCTGATTCATAGGAATTATATTTATGGGTATGTACATTTTTCATTTATTTGTATCTTGACTCAATTCATTCCATTCGCGGGCCTCTAATTTGATTTACAAGTGCTAAGGGTCTAAGGGCTAGCTGCTAGTTGCTAGGGTTGCGTCTCTGTCCGCTGTCCGCTGTCCGCTGTCCGCTCCCGCCGGCCTGTGCTTGTGTGCCGCCAGTTGTGCCCGCGAGAGGACGCTGCAGTTGCAGCTGATACAATGGTAGTGGGTGTGCCGCAGCGCATAGCTGCAAGCCGGCGCGTTGCATGCCTCATTGCTGGTGAACTTGCGAAAGCCCGCAGAGCGCACATAGTCCAGCCGCTGATGCAGTCGTCGATGGGCCACCACCTTGTTGGAGTCCGTGCAGACGTACTCGCACTTGCGGCAGTGAAAGTGGGAAGTTTTCCTCAAGGCTGCGGCCCCCGGGGATGCTGCAAGTGGGTTAAGGGGGGGTGGTTTAGTGGGGCATCAGTTAGGGAACGCGTTGGACTCTAACCTCTGCGCTGCTCTTCGGAGTAGCCTGCGGCATAGCTGCAACTGGCCACGCCGCATCGCATATTGGCTCGAAATTGCTGAAAATCATCGCCCATCAGCGTGTCCATGCGGTCGTGCCGCGCCGTGTGCTGCACGAAGCGTGTCTTGTCGCAGAAACTGTAGTGGCAGTCCCGTCGGTTGCAGTGGAAGTGCGACTGGTGGTTCCTATAGCCACACCGCTCGAAGCCGCAATCCTCGTTGAAGCGAAACTTCAGGTAGCCGCTGGGTATGTCGTGATCCCGCGTGCGTTTTGTGGCTGGACGAGGCGGCGTTACGGTTACCGTTACTGGTGGCGCCTCCGCTGTGGCACTGACTGCCGCTGCTGCACTCGCAGCCGCCGCATTGATCAGCATCAGCTTTTGTTGTGCGGCATTCTCCAGCAGCAGGCGCATGTCCAGCGCTGGCAACGGCTGACTGGCAGCGGCCAAAAAGCTGGGCAGCAGCACCTGCCGTTGGTAAAGGTCAATCAGCTGCTTGAACTGCAGCAGATTCAAGTTCAAACCCGCAGCTGCAGCCGCAGCCGCAGCCGCTGCCGGCTGCACGTGGCGCATGCTCAGATCTTCGGGCTGGTCCAGCTCCAAGTCGGGCTCCCGCCGGCTGCTCCTCTCCGCCGCTTCGGGCTGGTGTGCGGCGCAGGCATTCTCCGGATAGAAAGTGCCTGCCGCGCGAACAACTGGAAGGAGCGAGGGGCACAACAATTAGCTGGGCTTTGTGCCAAGCCACTGACGAGTTTGACTCACCCGAGACCCGGTACGGGTTGGATGTTGCTGTCTCTAGGGAGTGTGCAAGTGGCTGCAAGGATAACGCAAAAAATATCGCTTAGGGACCATGGAAACTATCGATAAATCTATCAATATCCTACCTGTGCTGTAGCTTCCTGGGGGCCGAGTGCTTGAACCTGAGCGTGACTTCGTGTGCTCGTCTCCTCGTGTTGTGTGCTGGCCCAGACGCGACTCCGCTTGCGGCTACGACTGGGGCTGAGATCTGTGGCTGCGCTCTCTGCCATTGAGGCGCCACTCGGCGCGGCAGTTGGAGCAGCCGCGTGCTCGCTTCTCTCCAACTTGAAGCTGGTAAAGATGGCCTGTGGGCAATGCTGCGCCTGTTGAACGCAAAAGCAAACCTCTAAAGGGTTGTCCAATCAGCAAATTCCCCAGCCCATAAATGTGGCATTATTCCCCTCATATTTTTCGGTGTTTTCCGTTCTGTGATTTTGGATTTATGACAAACCGCGCAGCCAGTTTATTGTTTCCGAAATTACTGTTAATGTTTGTCGCTGGCCCAAAATGTCACTATTTGAATTTTGTTCACGCATCAAATCAATAATAAAGCGAAACAGAGATAGAAGCAAAGCAAAAGGCAACAACCAGGGAACACAGAAAACGAACTATGGGATACCCTACCCTACCAGTTTGATAGATAACCGAGAGAGCCTGAGCAAAAAGCCTGAGCCTTCAAAGCGCTACAGAAATGTTGCGAAAGTGCTGATTGGGAAGCAAGATTGAGGTATTCCCCGCAGCTGGAAGTGATGATTGCAGGAGAAGAGTGGAATATGTCTATAGATTGTATATGGGAACTTCCAGCAGAACTCTTTCGTGTGTATAGAGTGCATGGGCTGTGTGTGTGTTGGCTCGCCACAATAATTACACCGAAAAAACCATTGAGAGACAATGAAACGAGTTTGCCACCAGGCCGAGGTATACGCACACCTTATTCGTTTTGTGTGTGGGGAATTATTATTATTACAATTATGATTATTATGGAGATTGAACGGACTGGGCTCAAGTGTTCCGTCTAGGCCCTTGCACATGCACAGATTCCCCCCCACATTCCGAATGCACCGATTTGGGTCAGGCACTATGATACGTGGATACGCGGCAGACGGGGTTTTATTTCCCCAAAAGAATGCCGCAAATGGCAATGGACAAAAAATACTTATTCAAATGTGATTGTTTATCCACACCGAGCACAGAGCACCGAGCACAGAGCACAGAGAGACAACCAATGAATGTGTGTGTGTGTGTGTGTGTACCTGGGAGGGTATGGGACTGTGGACGCGTGGGCTGTGGTGCGTGTGTGCCTCGGCCCAGCGATCGACAACAGCAACAGCAGCAAAAATGTAGAAATTATAAAAATGACAGTTAAAAGCACAAAACGTTCGACGTTCGACGCTTAAATGCGGAAACACTCGTTGTCAATATTAATATGACGAATATGGCAAAAAGCAAATGCCGCATTAGGGCTCCGCGGGGAGGCCAACTAAATTCCAAGCTGCAGCTTGAACCAGACACACCAAAAAGGAGTCTCAAGTGGGTCAAAATCCCTGCCCAAATGCCCGCCCAAATCTACTTACGCTCTTGTAGACCTCCACAAAACGATTCTTGGGCGGACGTCCGCGTTTGCGATTGAAGAAGCCATCGATGGAGGTAATTTGTGTGGCCTGATTGGGCTGTGGCTGTGGCTGTGGCTGTGGCTGAGACTGGGCGCTGGCGGCATCCACATCCCCTCCAGCTGCTGCTGCTCCGGACTCCATGGGCAGCTGGCAGAAATGATACAAAAAGTAGATTTTGCATTTATGAAACGTTTACGAGGGTGAATCAGTGAATCATTCAGCCACACTCAGCAGAAATCAAAGAAATGGCAATGGGTAAGGGGCCTTTGAACCCGATCGCAGGTCAGGTTTCGGCGCCAGGCCCCTCGCGGCGGAGATCGAGTGACCAGCGACTGACGTTTCCCGGAACACTTTGCATATGGATCGATATTTATTATGCGGCAAGCCAAATTCCACAACAGAGAGAGAGAGAGAGATCTGTGGCAGCGGATTAATGGCGAAAAATCCTGCTGCAATGCCAATGATGGGTGGTCCCCACCAATTAGGCAGCGATTGTCTGTTGTCTGTTGTCTGTTGTCGATTGGCTGCTTGCCGCTCCCTGTGTGCCACAGATAGACATCTACAATGGGGCCACACGGGGTAAGCGATTCCTTGCCTCCATATCCATATGGATTCCCATTCAATGGCACTCATTAGTCGCGGCACAAGAATGCCCTTGCAGATTCTTGCAGATTAAATGACAGTTTGAAGGCAAACAGCAACTTTATCTCGATCAAACATAAACACAAACACACAGATAGCGGACCCAGAGGGGACACACACACACAGTTCAGGCAGCTCTTTGATCTCCAACACCCACCAATTATTTGCGCACTCGGCCCGCCCTCTGCTGGGGTGTCCTGACAAATCAGTTCTATGGGCGACACGCAAACGCAGCGGCAAAGGGCAACTCCAACGAAGCGAAATTGAACCAGAATCAAAGCTAACCGAAGCCGAACCGAACCGAACCGAACCGAAGCGCAGCCGAAGACGCGTCTATCGTCGCCAAGAAACGCTGAACGAGTGGCGGCCAAGCCAAGCCAGAGCCGAGCTCAAGGCGGCAACGAAGGCGCCCGCCGCTTCAATGAGTCACGAGAGCCGAACTCGAAATGAAGAACGATTCGCAGTTGCACAGAGGAGCGCTTCGTATTAGATGCGACCAAAAGTGGCGGCCAAAGATGCAGGCAAACATTGCAAATATTGATTGAAATTTTAATAAGTTTTCTCGAGCAACTCCAAGGTATACCCTTGCCAGCTATTAAACTCTGTTTATTTCTGCTAAAAACTATTAAAACATTTGCATTAAAATGTTGAACAAATAATTGCTAAAAGAACATCAATAGGAGATATCTTCCTTTACAGCTGTAAAAACTGTTGAACGTTTTGGTACTTGGGAGCTTCGAATTTTAAGCTGAATTTTGGCTGGAAATGATAAAGGGGAACCCTTTTTCGTTCAAGTTAATATTTGCATTTCGACAAATGGTACGTCCATTTTTAGCACATGGATCCATGTCTGGCCCTAAATGGGCCCATAAAAAGGGAAGCCTGCACCAAGAAAGGCATCAGTCTGTGGCATCTCCTCACCTGAACGAGTCAATTAACACGAGAACATGAAGCTGACCATTGCCATCATCGGTAAGTAGCGCAGAGACCCGACAAAGGATCGGTTAATAATCCATTTGTATCCTTTATTCTTTATCCTCTTCACATTTCTACATTTGCAGCGAGCATCCTGCTCATCAGCTTGGCCGATTTGGCCACTGGTTCGGATTGTGGATGCCCAGGTACAACAACAACCACCTGCCGGACAACAACCACCTGTCCGACAACAACAACCACTTGCAGGCCAACAACAACCACATGCAGGCCAACAACAACCACATGCAGGCCAACAACAACAACAACCACTTGCAGGCCAACAACAACAACCACAACACCTTGCACGACAACAACAACAACAACCACTTGCAAGCCAACAACAAGAAGCACCACTAGGCCCACCAGGCCCACCAGGCCCACCAGGCCCACTAGGCCCACCAGGCCCACTAGGCCCACTAGGCCCACCAGGCCCACCAGGCCCACAAGGCCCACCAGGCCCACCAGGCCCACCAGGCCCACCAGGCCCACCACCACCACCAAGAAGCCTACATGCAGCGTATGCGGTCCGGGTGGTTCTGCCTGCAATGGATGCCCCGAAAGGGAGCATCTCTGCCAGGAGCTGATCAACAATGTGCGCAACATTGAGCGCAGGATTCGCCAGTGCGTGTGCGGAGAAAAGAATTGGATGCTGTAAGCTGGAAATTCCTTCAACCCACTCCCACTCCTACTACCCGTTGTGATCCGATCCCTGCCTGCTCGTCCTGGACAACGATTTTGACCCACTTAGAAGCACACCAAGCGTCCCTCAGGCTAGCGCCCTGTTGTGATCGATCCCTGCGTTGCTCACCGTGGACTATGCTTCTGACCCACAATTGTTATACCTTCATCCATTCCTGTTGTTTTAATTGACTTTTTATAGATAATAAACCCGTGCGGAATGCTGACTTTGGTCGCCTTCCAATCATTTCATACTGTTGCAAAATATTTGATAATATTTCCATTCCTAATTGAACGAATTCCTGACGCATCGGTAGTCGGAATTTGGAATATAATCGTAGATGTAGTCTCCTCCACTCATTCCCTCTGTGTTCTAGTGTTAACTCACGTCTAAAATTGTCATTTGTCACTCGATATTTATAGGTAGAAACATGGGAAAGTAAGTAAGTATATGCTGATGGGGCTAAAAATACAATTATTAAAGCCTCGGAAACTGTTTCAACTTGCAGATCCTAAGTTATGGTTATCTTCAAAGTCCAGGCGTAGTCCAAGCCCCGCTTATCCAAGTGGTTCTTGGGCGGAAACTTCACGTGCAGCTTGTTGCGGTTCGAGCTCCACTGCGAATGGAAATGATGATTATTGGAAGAAAACTCTCGGGAGAGATCAGCCTCAGTCATACCTGAACTTCAGTGTTGTCCATGCCCAGCATTGAGACTTTCGTCGTCTGTTTGGTCAGCACCTCGCCGTCGGTGCCAAAGTCGAGGCCAGTCAAGTGCACATTGCGGCTGATGGTGACCTCCTTGCCCAGCGGGTGGATGTCCAGCTCGTTGGTGTCATACGGATAGTCCAGCACAAAGGCGTAGATGGTGATGCTGCCACTGGACTCCTCAGGCTGTCCACGTGTGTACCACACATTTGGCGTCTCGGTGTCATTCTGATAGAGCCAGGGCACGCTGCCATAGACACCCTCGCCATTGAGCTTCAGCCAGCGGCCCAAGTCGTGCAGGCGCTCCTCAAAGATGGGCTGAATGGTGCCATACTTGGTGGGACCCACGTTGATCAGAACATTGCCGTTGCAGCTCACAGTGGTGACGATTTCTGAAACAATAGAAACATCAGCTACGATCAGGTATGATCAGCTTTTACGTACCCTTTATGAGCTCCTTGGAGCTCATGAAATTGGACAAACTAACATCGAAGCGTTGCCCCCAGCTGCTGCGCTCCAGCGTGAAGGCATTCTCCCACTTGTGCGACTGCAACACGCCCGGATTGAAGCGATCCGCGCAGTTGTAAAAGTCGCCGTGCGAGCAGGCTGTGCCCATGCCCCAGCGATCGTTGGTCACGACCGTGTCCCGCACGGGACTGTCGTTGTAGAGCCAGGCAATAAACTCCTCGGATTTCCAGTACTTGGCGGGTGCCTCCCAGTCCCCGTCCGACCAAATGATCTCCGGCAGATACTCCTGCACCAGCTCCAGCTGCTCCGGACGCACCTTCTGATCCACGTAGCTGTGCTGCATGAGAAGATGCAACTTGTCGTCGATCCACAGGCGATTGAACCACTCAAAGAGGGAGTAGTAAAGGCCAAACTTAAGATCGGAAACGCTGCGAACGGCTGCGGCAAGTTCCTCTGGAAGGGTACAAAGAGAACTTAGGCCGTGCCTCCAGCGCTGTGCCATGAATCAGATTACTCACTGACTATATCCCGCTTGGGTCCCACATCCATGGAGTTCCAGCTGAAGCTGTGCTTGGAGGGCCACAAGGCGAAGCCATCGTGATGCTTGCTGGTGAGTACAACATATCTGAGGGGAGGGGAAACTTGAACAGTCTGCTGGGCATCGATGAGCCACCTACCTGGCTCCACTATCTCTGAACAGCAACGCCCATTGTGTGGCATTGAAAAGCTCCGCTGTAAAGTCATCCGCAAATTCCTGATAAGTAAAGTCCGGCTTGTAGTTCCGCTGCATGAATTGTACGTACTCCGGTGTGCGCAAATCTGAAATAAACACTCAGCGAATCCAGCACTTGCCAGCTGTGTGTGTGTGTTTGTGTTTACTCACTCTTCCAATTATGCCAGAACCATTCGGAGCCAAAGCTCGGCACTGAGTATACGCCGTAGTGTAGAAATATGCCCACCTTCGCCTCATCGTACCAACGGGGCAGCGGCCTCTTGTCCAGACTGGCCCAATTCGGCTCGTAGCGGGTGCGCGGTGCCATGCCCTGTGCCATCAGCCCTAGGCCCGCGAGCAGCAGCCATAAGGGAAATCGAAATCCACATCCCATTTCTTCAATTAAGTCACTGGATACGGTACGGTTCTGGCTGTGCTTTGCCTCTGCCCCTGCCTCTGCCTTTGCTCTCCTCTGCTGTGCTCTGATTTTCTCTGCTTTGCTTTGCCTTTGCTCTGCTCTGATCTTCTCTGCTTTGCTTTGCTCTGCTCTGGCTCGCTGCACGCTCGCAGCACAACTGTGCCGAGCGCCGCTCGTATGCGCCGCTTATAGCGGAGCTCGAAGCCGAAGCTGCTAGCAGAGGCCGAAGCTGAAGCCCGGCTTCCAGTGTGAGAGGCTGGAATGCAATTGCCGGCGCTTCTCGTGCATGTCTGTGCGTGCATGACTTTGACTCTGCCTGCGTGTGTGTTCGTGTGTGTGTGTTTGTGTGCGTGGCCTGTGTAAACACAGCCGTAGATTTCCGGAGCACAGCCAAAATGTTGATAAGAGATTTCTGGCCGGACTGGGTACTCGTTTCATTTATCAGCTTTTCTAATGTGTAAACAGGTTTGGCAGTCTTCCGACGCCTGCTAATTATACACTGCCAGATTAGGGTTTAGTCGAATTGTTGGGTTGTTTGTGAAGCACAAAAGAATTCCTCATCCAATGTGCCAACATTGTACTGTTATACACTTATAACTGTTATATCCATTTTGTTGTTTACATTTACTTAATGCCACCAGCTGTTCCAGTACTTGTGGAATGGTAACATATTTTTCTATAATTACAACAACCTAAAATATCGTACAAAGTGGAGTTCAAGTTAATGTAAAGGCACTAGGACTTAGCTATAAAAAGGGTAAGCCTGCACCAAGAAAGACATCAGTCTGTGGCATCTCCACACCTGAACGAGTCAATTGCAGGAAAACATGAAGCTGACCATTGCCATCATCGGTAAGTAGCGCAAATACCCGGTTCTCCATCTCCATCTCCATCTCCACGCATCCTTCATCCTTTATCCTTTCCACATACCCACAATCGCAGCGAGCATCCTGCTCATCAGCTTGGCCGATTTGGCCACTGGATCGGCTTGTGGATGCACAGATCCAACAACAACAACCACCTGCCCGACAACAACCCCATGTCCGACCACAACCCCCTGTTCGACAACAACACCAAGAACCACTTGCAGGACAACAACCACTTGCCCGACCACAACCACATGCTCGACAACGACCCCATGCCCGACCACAACCACATGCTCGACCACAACCCCATGCCCGACAACAACAACGACAGCCCCATGCTCAACAACAACACCAAAACCTTGCACGTCAACAACCACTTGCCAGCCAATAACAACAACAACAACAACCACTCGCTCGACAACAACCAAAGCACCCACCACCTGCAGTACAACCAAAAAGCCCTGCAATACCACCAAGAAGCCTCCATGCAATACCACCAAAAAGCCCACTAAGCAAACCACCAAGAAGCCTCCTTGCAATACAACCAAAAAGCCCTGCAATACCACCAAGAAGCCGAAAACCACCAAGAAGCCAATAACCACCAAGAAGCCTCGTTGCAATACTACCAAAAAGCCCACTACCAGAACCACCAAAAGGCCCTCTTGCAATACTACCAAAAAGCCCACTACCAGAACCACCAAAAGGCCCTCTTGCAATACTACCAAAAAGCCCACTACCAGAACCACCAAAAGGCCCTCTTGCAATACTACCAAAAAGACCACTACCAGAACCACCAAAAGGCCCTCTCGCAAAACCACCAAAAGGCCCTCTCGCAAAACCACCAAGAAGCCGACCACTAAGAAGCCCACGACCAAGAGTCGCTGCGTGTGCGGTTAACCAACACTGTGGGCTCGGTTAATCAACACTGTGGGCAGCAATGAGCGCACGATCTGTGCGTGTGGAGAAAAGGATTGCCTGTTGCAAGATAGAGCATCTTTTGGCTTCTCAATCCCTGACATTATTGGAGCTCTGCCTGCTCACCCTGGACCATGATTTCGATCCAATTGTTATGTTTTTATTTATTCATAATAAACCCGTGCGGAATGCTGACTTTGGTCGTCTTCCAATCATTCCATTCTGTTTGCAAAAATGTTCGCAGTTGTAATCTACAAAGAAACATTACCTATAGTTAGATCAGTTTCTAAGAAAGAAATAATGGAAAAGTGGATCTTTATATGAAATCTAGGAGTGTTGAGAAGTGATGCAAATATTATTCCTATAATACCCAGAGGACGAAATCGTGTGCCCAACCAATATGCAAACAGAATTACAGAATTTTTTGTCACATTTAAAAAATTTATTTATTTTTTTATTGATTTTTTGATGTTTTTTATTCAACTTTTACACAGAGAAAAAATTAGATTTGCAATTTTTGCATTTGTTTTTTGTTTTGTTTTGTTTTGTTTAATTTGATTAATTAAAATTTGTTAAGTTGCTAGAATTTGTTAAGCGCTACTAAAATTTAAATTTGTTTGTTTGTTTTGTTTTTTTTTTTGTATCATCATTACATACATTCATAGTCATATAGGTAGTATATGGTATATATAATATATATCAATATTGTTTTGTCCATGGACCTGCCTGCCTGCCTACACACACTCGTATCATAATGGAAACGGTTAAACGATTACTTAGTCACATAGCTAAAAGGGTGTACAACATAGACTGGCATTAACTGGGACGCTAAACAACACTCTTCCTTTCTTCTATTTTGCAGGGCAGCATACCAATATTCCAATCCAAAAACGAGACGATACCAATAAATGAAACTGAAATCTCCGCTCAGATTACACATGGTGGGATAATCGTTTGAGTAGAACTTCCTATCGAGAGGCGCGGATGCAATTGGAATGCAATTTTAAAATATAAATTTATGTGGTATGTATTTTATTTGTTGTTTGTTTTTTATATGCAGATCTGTCTGATGGTCGGGAGTGTGTGGATGCGGAAGCGCGTCGCTTAATTGATTTGTAATTTGATTCTTGAATTCTTTAATTGGTTCCCTTGAACAACACACATACAGATACGCACATTGATAATATACATACAATAGTAATGGTAATCGTAATATTTGTTTGCTTAGTCGCTAACTCTGTAGTCCGTAATAGAATATGTAAAAATTCTACAATATATAGCCATAAATCTATTGTATATAGAATATTTACTTTCTCTTGCTTATGCGCTTGATACTTGTCACGATTTCGCCTTTCTGTTTACTTTTTGTTTCAATGCATCTCTTGTTATCTTTCTTCGTTCAGTTATCATTATTGTTTACAAAATACTTTGAGGAGCACTGGACGTGTCTAAGATTCTTCCTGCCATCTGCCTTACACTTTATCCATGAGAACGAAACGAAAACCATCTCTCCATCTACGTTAAAAATCCAAGAGGGAAACCCTAGCTGGTTCCCTAATTCCGTAACAACATCAAAAGCGTACTACAAAGCCAACTCAAAGAAGGTTTCAGGTATGTCATATATATGTACTTCGGGAGCTCTACACTACAACTTAAAGGTGTGTCCTACAATATCTCTGCGTGTGGGGGGGGGGGGGCTCTAATACTCGTGATCGAAAAAAAGAACAATTGAATAATATTTTGCATATTTCGTGTAGCTTTTGCTTTTTGTTTTGTTTCTGTTTGTAAGTTACATTTATTTAAGTTTACTTGTTATTATTTAATAGATCACATTCATGGTTCTATTTCTTCACTTGCTCTATTTATGTTCACATTTAATTCGTAATACAGTACATATATCGATTGGTTTTCTCTCTTTTTTTGTTTTGTTTTGTTTATCATTTACTTGTTATTGCTGCTACGGTGGCCCTATTTACATAACACTAGACATATATCTACTTTTGTGTACGAGTGTGTGTGTCTGTCTGTCTCTGATGCTCGAAGGGGAATTATTGATTGGGTTTGGATACTTGAGTCTGAGATGGCTAAAACACATGTTAGCATTTGTAAAGCAACGATTTGTAATACCTAAATGTTACGTATGAGTTCTACACCGCTTGTTATCGAGATCTTTGTGGGATTGATTGATTTGATTGATTGATAATTATTGATGGATTTGATGATTTACTTTTAAGCTACTCGTAAATTCTTTTTGTTTTTTTTGTTTACCTTGCGTGCGTGTGTTTTTGTGGGGGTATGAGTAAAAACTACAATTTAATTTGTCGAATACTTGGGAATCTGCTTAGATTTCGTGCAACCACTTCCCGATGTTCTCTTGTTCAGATATTATCGATTACCAATTACAGTTGGATTCTGTTCCGATTTTTTTCACTTTGTTTTCTTCGTTATTCTACGCTAAAAATTATTTTAAAATTTATTAACACAGATGACTTTATATTTTTCCGAAAGTTTGCCTCTTCCTTTTCCACTTTAGTTACCCATTTTTTTTGTCAATCATTTTTTTAGTTTTTTCTTTAATTTTTTATAAATAATTTCACTGCTCTCCGATCATTTGTAATCCAAAAAACAATTCGTTTTGCCAACTATCTAGCCGAAAGTTATCCACACATGTATATAGGTTAATATCTGGGTTGTTTTGGAACCGATATTGATCGCCTCATTGTTGTGTTGCGTTGCAATTGGTTTTTATTAACTAAACTCCGGATAAACACACAGCTACGCACATTGAATGAATTTTTCTGCTGGATTTTCGACATTGCTTGTTTTTAATATTAAAATCTTAAAAACTAGAAACACATCGAATATTAGAAATATTTTATCTTCCATATATATATATATATATATATATATATAGATATATGCAGCTACCCTCTATGGGGCTGCTGCGATCTCTGTAGCAAAGTTTGAAACTTTGCGCGCAAACATAATTATTTATAGTATTGATTAAAATAATAATACAAAGATTAATCGTAATTGGTGGAAATATTGTTTGAGAATTCCAGTTGGTTCTATTGTTGGTTTGGATTTTACTCTCTCTATCCATCCAGCAGCTGGTTTTGCTTTTGGGCGTCACCAATGGGATGGATATTTCTTTTACTCTTTTTTTAATACTCTCCAAACTATGATTTTCCGAATCTCTAGTTGGTTTTTCTTTCTGTGGGTGTACGTGTTTGGGTCTATGTTTTTTTTAATGTTCGTGTGTTTTGTATGCGTTTTCTTTTTCAATATTCATAATTATTATATAATATCACATCAACTTTGTTTTTTTTTTTCATTTGTTATTATGCATGACCTCCTTGCGGCCCCTCGCCGTGGAGCTCTACTGCTTATTGTTTTCCTCTCATGCCGGTTTATAAAGATCTTTTGTTTGCCAGTGTCTGCGATGATGATGGTATGCACATCCGTACACTAATAAATACTCTATGATCCCGTCTGCGTGTGGGGTTACATTTTGCCCTTCTGCTCACAACGGGTCCCCGACAACCGCTCACTGAGTGAAGTTATTTTACTCTCTGACAGTTTACATCTCTTTTTTACAATATTTTGAATATTATTCTTATGGTTTTTTGTGTGCCGCCCGTCCGTCCATGCGGCCGTTCCTCCTCTTTTTATAATTTTTCGATTTATATTTTCCAAAAAGTACCTTTTTTTTAAGCCAAAAGTCAGTCCAATAAGAGTTTTGAGTTGCCTGCAACTGCAGTTGATTTGTTTTTGTTTGTTTGTTGGGTTTTCTTCCTCTAGAGGAGGTTTTTTCAAAATAATTGTTGGTTAGAGTTGAGTTTTGTTTTTGTTTTGTTGATTTGTTGCTTGCAGGATTGGTTGATTGGTTGATAGTTGTGGTCCAAAGTTGTTGCCTCTACGGTTAAACGTTTCCTGACTAATCAGGATGAAGATCTTTGATGGAACGCCTTCCATGCGCGTTCCTGTGCACCCCAAGCAAACAGGGACGTGGACGCGAGTGTGGACGGGGGTCAGTGCTGCTGCTACTTCGGCTTTTCGGCTTTTCGGCTGCTGTTACTGTTTTTCGGAGGGATTGAGTATTGAGTAGCGCCTCTGTGTCCACACATCCACACCCACGTCCCCGCCCATGTGCCTGCGGCTGCCTCACTCCGATGAGTATAGCTTGTTCTTGGTCAGTGTGAAATCGGGACTGATGTTGATGGTGTTGCTACGTGTGAGATTTCTGCGGAACAAGAAAATGTCACAGATTAACAGGGTTTCTCCCTTGGTGGTTACTTGACTCTACTTACTTGAGAAACTGTGGCAGCTTCGAGGTCCAGCCGCTATTGTCCTGCTTCAGTGTCAAGTACAGCTCGAAGATTGACACAGTGTCTGGGTCCACTTTGAACGAGGCAATGCGCCTGTGTGGGTAGAAGAGAATCATTAGCAAAGCTTCAAAGGGGTTAAGCCATCTCTCCACACTCACCTGACTTTGTTCGGCTCGCTCTCAAACTCAATGAAGAGCGTGCAGGCGCGCTCGCCACATGGCTCCCGGTCCGACATGCGAATAATCTCGGCGGCAATGCGCTCCGTGAGATCAGCGGGCAGGTTCACCTCGGTGCAGGCCAGGTGGCGCTGCTTGGCGTCACGCAGCTGGAACTGCAGCTCCTGCGACAGGTCCCGCACGGCGCTGGCGCTCACGTCGTCCATGTTGTCGGCGGCCCCAAAGCGAGCCCCTGCCGTCGATTGCAGTGGCGAAGCCGGCATGGGGCTGGGCCCAGGTCCGTGGCCATGTCCCGGATGGTGGGCGGTGCTGGCCAGCACGTTGGTCATGTAGGCGTGGTGGTAGGCAGCAGAGCTGCCATTGACCACGTCGAAGCTGGCGGCCACCGCGGACTGCTTCCCAGAGCCGGCCACTGGGGGTGCCATCGGCACCGTCGGCCGCGTGTTGAGTGCCTGCTGCTGTCGCATGTGCAGCACGGAAGCGGGATGCCCGTCCACAACGTCTGCGTCCAGTGCGGCGTCGACGTCTGCCGCGTGCTCCTCCTCCTCCAGCTGATGCGACGCGGTGGATGCAACGCCCGAACTCGGCCAGTCTGCAACGGAAAGGGGAGAAGAGAGAGCGGGGTTCAGATTACTGATTCGTTGTTCATCGACCGGCGAAAGGGCAAGAGAAAATGCAAAAAGGAGAATTTACAAAGAGGAAGAAGAGGAGAATACAAAAAAAAATCAGCTGATGTCTTGAGGTTCGAGACCCACACGGATTTTCACTCGTATTTCCACTCAAGGCACTGCGCAGACTCCACTCGAATTACTTCCACGGAGCGCTGGAGCGCGGGGCAGCACGAAATCACCTGGCAACAACAGCTGGAAATCAGCCGTTTGCTGTGCACTCTCTGTCGCTTATGCTGCCTTCGCTGCTTCTTCCGCCTGCTTCTCTGCGTTTCCAGCTGACGACTGTCCCCCTTTTCGCCTCTCTCGCAGTCAGCAGATTTTGCCATTCCGCTTTCTGCTTTCCTCATCTCCCCCTTGAACATTATATGACGTCTTCCTCATTTTGCCTTTACTTTACTGCACAGTATTTTTTGTTATTTCTTATGCTTTGTTTTATTACACCACCAGTGACAGAGTACAGTGGGACAAACAAGCGAGAGACACGCACTTTGAAATTTGCTTATGTATTACTGTTTCTTCGGATAATGGTAGAGCACCGTCACTTATGCCGAATTCCCGTTTCATCCCATTGTCTTTCGTTTAATGTGTGTACTTATGTATGCGTGTATAAAAAGCAGTTACATTGCCTCTCCACATTGTTTGTGTTCGTAGGTGTGTGCAAGTACAAATTAACTGCTTTGCCTCGACGTCTCGTCGAGCGTCTTGTAATTAGCGCGGAAACTCTTTAAAGAGCCACGCCGTGCCACCCCCCGCCGACATAAACCATTGTACACAATCATTGCAGCGTCGCTGCTGTTGAATGGACAATTTGCTCTCTCGTTAGCTTCGTATCTCTCTCACCCCATCCACGCTCAGGTTCTCTCCCCACTGTCTGTCTCTATCACACTGCACACTGCATGGCATGGCAGAGCAGAGCATACATAAATACCACATACACCCGCGTAATTAAGAAATTAACGGCACATGTTTGCGGCTCTCCATGTGTCCACATGTGTGCGACGTTCCCATTCTCTCTCTCTCTCTCTCTCTCTGTCTTGCTGTTCCTCATTCACAGCACAGCGTGTGTTATTGGATTTTGTCAATTGAGCGCTGTCTCCTCCGTCCCTGTCGTCGCACAAGAGAGAGAGGGGAAAAGGGTTATTTTCGTGCAAAGTCAGGAAAGCGAAAGCCAAAAGGAACGGGAATGAAACAGAGACAAGCGACCACCAATACACATTTAATTGCAAAGTACTCATCCGAGACCAAGCCGCATATTTAGTTGGCACCTCTCTCTCTCTCACTCTCTCCAAAGCTAGACATACATTCGGTGTTTGTGACTGTGGGGTGGGAGAGTGCGATCTGGAAGAGAATCACCTTTGATTGCCAGAGCCGGTAAATGGAAAAGAGAGTGAGTGCGAAAGCGACAGGTACAGCTACTTAGCGTCATCTTACGCTCAGTTCGCGTCTCCCGTCGAAGAAAAGTGTTGCTTTTTGCTTTCGCTGATCGTTAATATCGTTTACGGGTACAGAAAACACGCTAATCGGTGATTTAATTGGTGGCATATGAACATATCCGCTGACCCCACATCTTTACGCGTTTGTGTACATGTTAGTTTGTGAATCAATAAACGAGTTTATAAATTATTCATTAAAACCAATTTTGGAAGTCATTCGCCCCTGATTGGAATCTTGGCAAGGGCTACGAATCAATGTTCCACACAAACAACACACCCAAATAGCAAAACGTACGTACACTAGCAAAAACAGATATTCGTACGTACATTAGTGTGCGTGCATGTAAAATAGTGGATGGTGGAGAACATTTTAAATCAAATTCGGTAATTAAACTCTGTTTCTCTTTGCAGATTCAACAATTGGAGTGCAAATATTGATATTATGGGTATGCAAATACATATTTAAATTGATTTTATTTTATTTAAATACCTGGGAATATTCGTTGCTATCGAGGGTGTACGAATAATTATGGCACCCACTGTACACACACAACCTTTTTCGAGTGCCCCAAAATCCCTCACACAGAGAGGCAGAGAATGGCCATATCGGTGGTGGGCATAACTAATGTTTATTCAAAGAAATTAAGTAATTAATTAAACAACATTATTGCCACACACACACACACACACGCACGTACAGATGATGGAGTCTTCTCCCCAGAGCCATCCATGGTGCTCCACCATTTGACTAGGACATGAATATGCATGGCCATGGCGGTGGCACAAGTGTGAGAGATCTGGCTCTGACTCTCGGATGTCCTTCGAAATAAAATTGCATGCGCTCAGTCAGTCATGAAATTAAATTGACTGCAAATACAGCGGGCGGGAGGCAGGAAGGGGATTCCAGCCGGAGGGAGCGAGAGAGTCAGCCAGCCAGCCAGCCAGCCAGCATGCACATACACATAACTGTGAATGCTCTGCTGTGTGTGAGTGTGTGTGACATGTTGTTGCATATCGTCGTTGACGTTGCCACAGAGAGTTCTTGTGCTCGCCTTTGGCTGATTTTACATTTTCCACACAGACAGACAGGAGGGACGGGGTGGACCGCACCGTCTAATTTGCACAACTCTTTTCTTTTGCCGCTTGCCTTGGCAAAGTTTAAAGTGACAGGATTAACAGGATGTTGCATAATCCGACCGTCAGACACATGAACAGGATATGCCTGCATGGCCCAGACAGGAACAGGAACATGACAGGACGGAGCACGGCGTTCTTTCACGACACACACACAAAAAATGCATAATGCAAATTACACTTTGGCAACCCTCCGAAAAAAGCTTTCACAGGATTTACATACGAACATGGGAAAATATGTACATACACGGGTTGTCCAAAAAGTGCTTAAACCGCCGGAAAATATTCATTCTGTTCGGCGTTTTTTTCAACAGCGGTAAAATAATATTCCGTCACAATGTGAAATGAAATACTTTTTGAAACTGTGATGACAATCTTTGCTAAGAGCAGATAAAGTTTAAAAAATAAGAGAAAACTGCCAAATTGATTGAAAAATCATTCGATTCAAATAATTTGAAAAGCAAGTCTAAATTTGTAGATTCTTCTCCCAAATGCGGAACACTGGAATCAAGAGCCACTTCAGTTTATATTTTTTACATTTTACTACCCAATCACAGGGTCAGAGAACTACCTCGGCGAATGGACCTAATCAAATCAGAATATCACTCGAAGAAGCATTCCAATGCGAAGCACAAGGCAAATCCATCAAAATTTTCCATTTGTTGAGAAAAACACTTCACTTGAATAAATGTATCTTATAATCCCTGGAAAATTTGCTGCAAAAACATCAAATGAAATGTTTCCTTCCCGTACAGCCGTAAAATTAATTGAATCAAAAAATGGCCCATAAACATGAAAAATAAAAACGTTCGTGGCCCATTAAAAAAGTATCCGAAATGGGGCCTACTTCTTTTTATTCTCTAAAGAAACTGGCCCCGCCGAATGTATGGATACAGCGGCGGCTCACAAAGTCGTATACACTGACCTCAAGTTGCCCAGTTAATGCTTTTCGAATATTTAAATTAACCAAGTTTTTTTGCTTGCTTTTTTTTTTGATTAAGCAAACATCACATTTTTTATTGTAATTGATTTTTTTGTTGTTGCCTGATTAGACTCTGGCCACCGATTAACTTAATAGCGGAATAATAGAAATTATTTTCTCTGGCAACTATTTTTAACCGCATCGCATACAAATGCCTTTCAGCCCAAAACTGTGTTTTAACAAACGCTCGGCTGCTGCTGCTGCTGTTGCTGTTCCCAACGTTTGTTTGTTCAAGCCCCAACAATGGGAATAAATTATCAGTTTGTCGACAGTTTCTACGCGATTTAGTCGCTCATTTAAAAAGTTACTAGAATGAAACCTGCCATTTATTTTCCCTTAGAATTATTTGAATTATAGCCGTTGGTATTTTCTTTGTGGGATCTACACAAGCAATTGAAACACATTCGAACACACAAAACGAACAGAACTTAAATTTAAAAAAACTTGTCGAAAAAACAACCAAGAATGTGCGCTTTTCTTTAGCTAAATTTTTGTAACACTTTTCACTTTGTCTTGGTTACTCACCTTTGATTTTGTTAACACCGAATTTTCCCTGAATGTGATTTTGTACTGAGAGCACTTCCATCTTCATAGAATCGCCGTTTGGTCTGCTGCAACCGCGCTTAACCGTTGCCGCTCTTGCTGCTCGAGTGCCTGGTGTGTGCTCTTGTTGTGTGGCTGTGTGTGTACACACTACTGTGGGTTGTGTGTGGCTTGTGTGTGTTCTTCTAGAAATGCACTTTAATCACAAAAAACTTTGATTTGATTTGAAGTCCTCCGCAAAAGAGGAATTTCACGGTGCCACGGGCTATATGCGGATTATACGAATTCGGAATCGGATTTTCACTTGACTGCCCGGCGTCTCGTTTGTCGCGCCGCTCAACAAACAATTGGAAAAAGTATCAACAACTAAATTTGTTATTCTAGTTAAACGTTTAAATTTAATACATTCTAAAAGTCAACGGAAATTGCCGCCCCGTCCCGCTGCCTCTCTCTCTCTCTCTCTCTCACACTCTCGCTCTGTCTCTGCCTTCGTCGTTCTTTTTCATTCACGCACAGCACATGGTTCGTTCTGTTCTTTTTCTGATTCTTGTCGGAGTTGTAGTTGTTGCTCGGTTAGGTGCTACATATGGCTTGTGTGTGTGGGGGTGCTGCATCCGTGTGCTTGCCCGTTGGATGTGGTGCGTGTGGCGGCCGTTGGAGCTCTGTTTTTAGCTTTTGCCGTTTCTCTGCCTTTTGCTGCTTCTTTCTGTGCTTGTGCCTGTTCTGTTCTGTTTCTCTGCTGCCTGCCTGCTGCTCGCTACAGGGAGAGACTTTCCGGCTAGCTGTGCTCTGTGCTGCTGCTGCTCCACTCAAAACGCGCGGCGGTTCTCTCACGGCTCAGCTGTGTGTGCTGTGATTCTGCTGCCGCTGAGGAGAGCTTGGGACAACGACGGCGACGACGGGCAACTTCTGTGGCGTGGCGTGGCGTGGCGGAGCGGAGCAGTTTTCCAATTTTCCAAAGCTACTCCGGCCGGCGGTGTGTGCTCTGGCTTTTATAGGAATTTTCCGCGTCTGGCAGCGCAGTTGGCGTCGCTGTCGCGTCGTGCGACTGAGTGGCTTTTTCCCTTGACAGTGAACCAGTCCGGCAGCTCTTGAGCATTTATTTCTCTCCAGCTGTGAGCAAACATATGTTGGTGTCAGCTGTTGTGGCTCAGCACGGCAGAGGAAGAGAAAGAGAGAGAGCGCAAGCGAGTCAAACTCAAACTACTCTTGAGTGTGCGAGAAGTACTCAAGAGCGCATTTAAGAGAGTCATAAATGAAGGCGCTCAAGAGAAATTTCACTTGTGACTCTTGAGTGTTTTTTTTTTACAGCAACTGAGTTTGAGTGGCCATTCGGAGTGCAATGCATTTCACTCGGGGCAGAGAGAATTTTGTTCAACCACATCTAGGGATCTGTTATTTTTGTTAGAATTTTGCATATGCTGTTTTTTTTTGGCTAACAAAATAATCAGCATTAGGTTTATATCTGTTAAAAGATCTGCCCGCCACGATTGACACAACCATTGTATTGATTTACGATCCAAATCAAAACCCGTTCACCCGCGTGGGTGTGGGGCCAGAAAACGGAAGAAAACGAATGAAAATGTTTTGCCGACACAGAACCCTGTCACTGTTTTAACAATTCATCTTAATAGAAATAAAAAATGGCGCCGCTAGCGTTGGACAGAGTCCGACACTGGGCACCCCAACCCCAAGCACGACTCCCCTGCCGAGACACTGCTCCCCAGCCTAACCACTTCTCCCCTGCCTTCCGTTCTTCTAGCTTCTGCCTATTTGTCACTGGTTCGTTTTGTGACGTTGCTGCCGCTGCTGCTGCAGTCGGCGTCGTCGCCAGCGGATCAGCATCAGCAGCACCGAAGCTTTCTCTTCGTATTTCCTTGCTTAGAAGTTCGGAGTCGTTGGGTATATTGGGTGCTGTGGAATCTGCAATTTTAGAGCAAAAATTAATACGAATTCCCGTTTAAGGGGTATCCAATAGTCGCTATGCGTAGACTTTTCTCGCAAGTTTCTGTTTGCTTTTTCTTTTGCCGGTCAGCGTTGTGTGTGTGGGCGGGGGGGACTTACACATGTCAGTTAATGCTGAAAAAATGTTTACACAACACAATTGCCCTACTGGGGGGGATGGAGGCTGGTCATGGGACTAGGGCTGGACTAGGGCTGGACTGGGCGTGTGCCCAGCAGGGGTGTGCAGCAGCGATGCCAAAAACTTTTAAAGGCCAGTTTTCCATCAACTTCAGTGGAGTTTTTTGTGCAGTCCGTCGCCGTTGTCGAACAGGATAAAAGTCAGTGGCGTACAATTAATCAAATGCATGATTTATATTCCTTCCAGCCATTCAAGTCTAACCTAAATACGTCCCGCTGGGGCCGGATCCTGTCAAATGAGATGTTTTGGGTTGGAGAACTTGCTAGGAACTGCGCAAAAGTTACAGTTAGGCCGCGGGAAGTGCCAGAAGTGGGGAGAGAGAACACCAAAATAGTGTAGTATGTTGTCGAATATTTTAGGAAGCTTTGAAATGTTTTAAAGAAAAAATAAAATAATTTCCGCGCTTAGGCACAACCGGGTGTGCCCCTCCCCTATTGGGAGTATAATTATTGCCATATGCCCACGGTCACACTGGTCGGCATTTGCAGTTGTCAAAAACCAGCTGTTCGGCTGTCAAAGTGGAGAAAAAACAGCTGTTCGGCTGCCAAAGTGAAAGAAAAGGTGAGCAGTGAACAAATTGTGAGCAATAAGCACCATAAAAACCTCGAAAAAAGAGTACCAAGTGCAACATTACAAACATGCAACGAAAGATGCCTCAAGTGAGTAGAAAATAATCATAAAAGGAAACCAAAACTTCACCCAAAAGTTCTTGCGGCAGAACCCGATACATCAGAGGAAAGGAATAATTCCGATCAGGGTGTTCGCCAGCGATTCCTCATCTTCAGCCAGCGATGCGGACAGCAGCTCGGGTGGTTCCCGCTCAGGTAAGTCAGAAATGGAAGTTGTACGTGAGCCGCTTGCTTATGATAACTTTTCAATTTTAGGCTCAAGCTCTGATGAGGATGAATCGCCCAATGAGGAGGCAATAGTGTAAGGAATTGTGCAGACACTTTTGGGCATTTGTCAGAGAATTTATTTGCACTCTTTCTTTAGCATTGAAGACTCCTCGGAGGGGTCATCGGAGGTGTCATCGGAGATGTCCTCGGAGATGTCATCGCCCGTTTATGAGTACAACAGCGGACCATTGCCCTCGATGCCGCTGTACGATGAGGAAACAAATGAGTTTAAACCTCCCACTGATCAGCACATCAGAGAGATGTCCGAGACGATTGCAGAAACTGATTTTAAGCAACCGAAGTGCAGCGTTAAGTACGAGGAACCTGAACCCGTCACTGACTACGATGAGGATTCGGATGGCTTTTCCTCGGGCGACGACTCCGAGATCAGCGATGAGGCGGAAAGTGCGCAAATGATTCATCCTTTAAGCAAGCGAAAGGCTGCCTGGTTGAAGTTCACATTGGGCACGGGTGAGGTGCCCTTTCGTTATGTCAAAGAATCGCCGGGCAGTTTCTGTGATTACTCCGTTGAGGCAGAGGCGACGGCGGCCACAGGCAGCGAGTTCTACGAGGATGGTGTCAGCGATGGGCAGGATCCCAAGGAGACGCACATTTTCCAGGTGATCAATCAGGCGGAGATCTTCGAGCAGTACGAGCAAACCTTTCGCGCTGTCCTCTCCATGGTTGAGGAGAGTTGCAGCCACTTCAGGTTCGACCTGCATCAGCTGCTGTATCCCTTGTTGACGCTGACCTATCTGCAAATGGTCGCCAGCGACAATGCGAATGGTGGCTGGAGCTTCTTGAGACACTGCTGCCGATGCTTGGACGATGCCTCGTACAAGTCGCGGCTGGAAACGCTCGCAAAAATCCTGCGACCAGAGGATGTGCCAGCCAAGGCGCGCTTGCTGCTAAATGGACACGAGAAGGTGAAGATATTTATGTCACGCGGCGCCTACAGGCAGTGTGTGCTGCAGCTGGCACGGCTGCCTTATTGGCAGCAGGATAAAGTCCTCGGACACTTCATCATTCGTAGCTACGACGAGGCAAAGCTGCCGCTGCAACGTTTGCGCTTGGGAAATCCCCCGCTGAAGGCCATGGTGTGGACTGCGCCTGGCATGCACGAAGAACGCGCTGCTGCCGCCGGTCGTCACCGCAAGCGAGACTTCGCTGGGCACTTCAGTGTGCCCTTCAGGCAGCAGTTGTACACTCCACCACCCAGTCTGAAGGATGAGATTAAGCGCAGGACACACGATCAGCAGCGTGAGACGCTGGATCGTGAGCGCCTGCCCTCGGTCTATCTGTACACGGCCACGGCCGGCGAGGAGCGCATTCTCTGCGCCGATTTCTCGGTCAACTACGAGATGCTGGCCCTGGGCACAAGCACCTCGCTGTTGCAAGTCTTCTCGGTGGATAACTCGAAGCTGCTGGAGGACATGACACTCAGCACGGGCAGCACGGGCAGCACGGACAAGCGGCACAAGCGCACCTTGTGTGGCCATCGGAAAGCTGTCTACGGCTGCTCCTTCGGCCCGGACGATCGCTATTTGCTGAGCTGCTCGCTGGACTCGGATGTGCGCCTGTGGTGCCTGCGCTCGTGGCGCTGCCTGGTCATCTACACGTGCCACCTGGCTGCCGTCCATTGTGTGGTGTTTGACCCGCTGGGCTTCTACTTTGCCACCGCCTCGGCGGATGGCACGGCTCGTGTTTGGGCGCAGAGTGTCAAGAAGCCCGCACGCCTCTTCTCCGGCCACTTGGCCAGCGTGGAGGTGTGCCAGTTCCATCCAAACAGATACTATTTGGCCACAGGATCGGCGGACTGCACCGTGCGCATCTGGGAGATTGTGAGCGGCCGTCAGGTGCGTCTGCTGAGCGGCCACAAGGCGCGCGTCCAGTCGCTGGCCTTCTCCAAGTGCGGCCGCTTCCTGGCCTCTGGCGGCGCCGACAATTTGCTCATTCTGTGGGACATGCCACGCGAGCGCATGATGCGCTGCCTGCGCCACCACACGGCCGTCATTGACTCCTGTGACTTTGATATGAACAACAATCTGCTGGTGGTGTCCAGCCGCGATGGTCGGCTGTCCGTCTGGGACTTTGATCGTCTCCTGCAGGACTCTGCCGGCCGTGGCAGTGCTCTGCCACAGCTGCCGCTGAAGTCGTACGACAACCATGAGGGAGCCATCTGCAAGGTGTCCTTTACCAATGCCAATCTCCTGATGGGCGTGCGCCTGGCACACAAGTCGCACAGGAAGTGCCAATATTAGTCATGGAATATTGCCAAATAAATGATGCACAGATTTACTATAGCAAATCCATTTGCCTGCACGAGGACTCTCTGTGGACACGTCTGCCGCACACAAATGCACTTCGGGGGGGTCCCTTCTTTGGGGGAAAATCAAAATTCTGGGCAGGCCACTCTGGCACCTGGGAGAGGGTTTCAGGATTCAAAGTGAATGCCTATGCCCGCATCCACACCGGCGACTGGACCGGACCACTTAGGACGCAGGAACTGAAGGGTTTCCCACTTTTAATGCCCAGCACGTTTCTCCAATAAAATAGCAACAGCAACAGCTACATTGGCAACAATCCTTTAAGTTCTTCGACACATCGCAGTGGGCAGGAAGGCGCTGTAGAGGCGAAACCTGGTCTACCGTTTATGCTGGGACAGGGTGCCGCGGGGCATGATGAAATTACTGGACTAGGAGGAATACTAACACTTGGATGTGACAGCTGAGCGTGTAAATGAATAGATAAATATTTGATTTAAACATAAATAATTTACAAATATTTTAATAATATTTAATATATTTTTTTATTGAATTTGAATGCATTTTAGGACGAAAATATTTTATTTAATTATAATTCACATTAAAAATATTTATAATAATATTTCTTATATTCAAATTCGTTACTTTTTAATGCATTTAACATTTACTACATTTATTTTTTATATTTATTTTTTTTTATATATTTAAATATATTTTTTGATTGAACTTTAATGCATTTTTCTTATGTTTTATTTACGTTAAAGTGTTTACTGCTTACTCTTTAAGCAAAAGCGTATTTTATTTTCAAGATTTAATATTTGAGAGTCACGCATTAGGACGAACATTTTTTATTTAATTGTAATTCACATTAAAAATATTTATAATAATATTTCTTATATTCAAATTCGTTACTTTTATATGGAATTTTAATGCATTTAACATTTACTACATTTATTTTTTATATTTTTTTTTTATATATTTTAATATTTTTTTAAATATTTTTTAGTTTTTTTTTCGACATCTTTTGCGTAAAAATAGTTAATATTCGACTTGTATTCTCTTCTTTATTCTCTTATTTATATAGAGATATACATATAAAAATCAGCAAAAGCGTTTTCTACCGAAAACTACTACAGGATATCCTCAAGTCGCTACATAAAATTCATCCGCCAGTTCCCTCTCTTGCCACCACTCCATGCCAGAAGCCCAACTGCGATGAACATCGATTTTCGTGTGATTTGTGTAGACGTGTTTGGGTTTCTATTGATTTTCACTTGATTCTCTCCATATGCTTAAATATACTTAAGCCAGTACGTGCACATCCATTCCATTCCATTCGTCCCTCAGCCAGTCAACCCAAGACCAAGCCCATTCCGGGCCCTAGCGAGGCAAGCAAGCGGCTCTAATGTCAGGATCATGCGAGGTTATCAACATAATTTCCAAAAAAAAAAAAAAGCCTCCTGCTGCTGCTTCCAGCCACAACATGATTCTAGTTTATGATGTAGTAGAGAGGTCTCTGTTTCCTCTCCTTCATCATGGTTGGGAGCTGAAGCTGAAGCTGCCTGTCGAAGATGGGCGCGTGTGCGGCCTGATAAGACGCAAACTGCTGCTCCTCCGCCAAGGATTCGGCTCAATTTGGTTTTGGCTTCCATTGAGGCTTTGCCCTGGGGGAATACTTATTTTTTGACAGCCTAGTTGGAAGTCAGGGCATCAGGTTGAGCAGAGAAAATGTCTTTCTAGTTTGTTTGAAACAGCAAAAACGCTGCTGCAAAATGTATCGTTTAACAAAGCTGCAAAAAGGGAATACAAATGGCAACCGAAAGTTGAGGCAAAACGCATTAAAGACTTCAGTGTCCCAGCTTCACTGTCCTGTCTTTGTTGGCATGGCATTCGGTAGTATAAGTTGTGCCACATTGCCGATGCTTGATGGTTGGCCCATCAGTTTTGGTGGGCAATCAAAGTGCCTGGGCCAGCAGTTTGCGCGCTCGTTACTCATTTCGTTTCTCTCCGGGGTATGTCTGACATTTGACATGATTATGTACATTTGTCCCCCGATGGCACTGCCAGCGCGAAAAGCTGACGTAATTTGCAAAGAAACACTGAAAGCCTCAGTGGCCCAAAGCCAAAGCCCTGCCAGACGGGTGGCTGGTTGGCTGGTTGGCTGTTTGGTGTTGGTGACCCCGACGAGCTCTAATCTATCAGCGGTTACCTCGAAATTCTTGCACTTTTCGCGAGAGACTCCTGCTCCTGCTTCTGCTCCTGCTCCCATTCACACTTCCTTTTTGCTTTATTGTTTGGCCCGTGTTTCGGGGCCAGGCACAAGTGTCCTCGCAGCACTTTTTCCTTCTTTTTTTTTTGTTACTTTGTAACGCAAATTCTGAAGTAAGCATGAATAATGCATGCATTGTGTGTAATTCTTGAAGTACTTTTGCTTCAAGACCGACGACAGGCACACATCAGCAGGGGCTGCCAGTTGCCCCAGCAGTCCCATTTCTGTGTCCCTTCTAGACCAGACCACAACCTATTTATATTGCTGCTGTATCCAGCGGGATTCCGCCTTGGTGTCGCAATTTATTGCGCGCTCTTTGAATTACAAATGTATTTAAATTACATTTTCTTTTGGGGACCTAATGGGGACCGGTCCGACTTCATTGCTATGCTGATGTGGCAAGGAACGGCAAGGAGTCTCCTCCATATCGATCTCTTGCTTTGGAATCGATATGCGAAAAGCACAAACAGAGCTAATGACAACCCAGCGAATCGACGTACAAGACGCCCACTTAATGGAGCTGTTTTAGCTGAATAATGTAGAAAACAAACGACAGTAGCATTCTGGCTGGTTCCCACCAACTGTTTGTGGCAAATTACAGATTTTACATGTCATAACTGCAACACAAATCAAGGGGCTCAGTGACAAGTTAATAATATGCAATGGAAATTGGACTACAAATCTGCTCTGAAGTGTATTATTTTCTGCTTAACGGGGAGTGCCTTTTGCCTGCAATATTTACCAGAAAAGATGAAAACTTTCCCTGAATTTATTTCCATCATTCTGTAGCCAAATCAACGCTAAGATTGCCTCAAGCCTAAAGTGAAATGTGCACCAGAAATGCCTCTGTTATGTTCAGCCTAAAAGGTTCTTCCTATAGCTACTTTATATCCCCTCAAAAAGTGATTGAAACTGCCTCCAAATCGAAGTGGAAACCCCCCGGTTCAAAGTGATGAAAATGCGTTGTAAATTATACAGCAAACTTTACATTAGATGGTGCAGCCTTTTAATGCTATTAGGCAGACCCGTGAACCCATGACCCGACGCGTAGGCCTACCGTTGGAAATTCACTTTGTCATTTACACAGCCATTAGAGAAAAGCCCGAGGAGCTCGGCAGGAGCCAGGGAGTGGACAGGAGAGCTGAGAGAGCCTGCCTTTGCCATTGCTGTTATTGACCAAATGAGCACCGCCCAAGTCCGTCCTGAAGGTACAACCTTACAGCGAACGCAGGGATTCAAACTTTTAAAAGTTTTCAGCTTTTCGCTTTTTTTTTCTTTTCAATTTAGGCGAGGAAGCTGCTGGCTGGATGGCTCGCTCTGGCTACTGGCTACTGGCTACTGCTGTATCGAAAGTAGGAGCCTTTGGGCAGGGGTCCATGGAGCGTCGTTAATGGATTTTGCGAAACTTATGAAACAAACTATGTCCGTCCAGAGTCAGAGTCAGGACACAAGTACGAGGGTACGAGTACGAGTAAGAGTTTGGTGTGAAACCCAACGAAAGAGGGTTGCTAGAGGAGTTGCGCTGTGGGTTTGAGCTGCAGATTGGAGATGGGAAAGTGAAGTTTTGAACCAAGAGTGAGTTTTAAGAGTGTGAAATTGATGTGCAAAAAGGATTAATTGGTTCCCAAATGGTTATACAATTTTGGTGCTTTTTGTGCTCTTTAAGCTCTTCTTTGTCTCGCAATCCCTTGTAGCAACCCTCGCATCACTCAACACACACACAAATTGCAACTGCCCCGTGTAATGTCACGTACTTTCACTTTTCTACTCACGCCTCAGCCCCCACCCCACAGCCAGCGAAGGGTCCATCAAAGGGCAGCCCTGTGGCAGCTCTGGCGTCAATGCGTCGTCCTTCGAAAAGCGAAACCCATTCAAAGCCTTCGTGCGTTTGAATTCTATTAGCTGCAGAAAGGATTTCTTTCTCTCTCTCTCTCTCTCTCTCTCCGGGACAGGCTGCTGTCATAAGCACTTTTTCAGTGTTGCCGGCAGTCCGTGTCCGTGTCCGGGTTCTGCTCCGTTTGGTCTCCCCCCCCCCCCCCCTTCCTCCGTTACCTTTACCCCGGTGGGTGGGGGGCGGGGACTGGGGGGTTTTTGTCTCTTTTTCAGTTCTCTTTCTGCCCTCTCTTTNCTGTGGCTGCTGCTACGTGGCTCCTTGGTTCCTGCTTCTGCTCCGTGCTCCATGCACATCCAATTGACATTTCAGCTTAAGTCACATTCTATGGCGTCATCGGGAGCGGGGGCAGGAGGCAACACAAAGGCAACGGACGAAACGGAAAGCAAAAGCAAAAGCAAAAGCGGGGACAAGTAGCTGTAGCTGAAGCTGAAGCTGTCCGCCATTCAAACACCCAACGAAGCAATGGACTTCCCTCTCCCTCTTCTCTCCAACCCCTTTTGGTGCATTTATTCTGCTCGCTGTGCGCAAAACAAAAGCGCCAGGAAGGAAGTGAAGGAAGTAAAGTGCAAAAGCTGCAACGGCAACAAAGGCGCACACAATTACCAAGCACTGTATGCTCCCCCTCCCTCTCCCTATCGCGCTCTCGTGTTTACACAAAAACATTTAGACTGCAGCAAGCCAGAGATGGGCCAGGGACCGGGAGGAGTCTTTGAATGTGGGTTAATGGATGCAGGCAGGGAGCAGGGGGCACCGCCAAAAGGATTGACATGAACAAAGCCAATGATGAGTAGCAAAAGTTCCCCCAATGCCAGGCAGTGGGCAGGGACCTATTTGCCGTCTTTCCAATTAGTTCACAGCTGCTCCACCAGCCTAAAACTGCCCAAATCTTTCATAGAGAAAAAAGCGATTTCTGATGCCGCTGTCCCTTGTCCCTTGTCGCCCCTGACAACGCAGCAGCGGCAGGAGCAAAATGAAGGCAATATCTCAAATGGGGAACCACATAAACGAAATAATAAATATCAAATGATTCCATAATGAATGCCAGGCAGGCATTTGCCATTGCCTAGAGACGGGTGGGACCTGACTGACTGACTTGCCAAGCAGCCAGAGTGCTGGCTCCACCCCTCCTGCCTGGCTGCCTGGCATTTCTTTCATTACAGAAATTGCAAAGAGAAAATATAAAACATTTCTTAATTTCGTTTCGTTTCATCATTGGGAAAGGAGCAGCAGCAGCAGCAGCAGGGGGACAGTGGGGACAGCGGGGACAGTGGCAGCGACAAGATTTACAACATACTGCGAGAGCATAAAATAAAAATCTTATTTTCCGTACAACTGCGAAAAGCAGGGGGAGGAATGGCGGGGAAAGGCGGCGAAATAAATAAAATAAAATAGAATATAAAGAAGAGAAAGACGAGGAATAGAATGAATAAAAATACTCGAACGTACAAAAGGCAGCGCCCGGCACATCACCCCCACACCAGGCCCATTGTCTACTCCATCCCTGCCCCCACCCTCTTGGGTATCTTTGCGTTGACAACCTTAATAGTTCTCGAGGATATGGCAATGTGCTCAACGCATAGCCAGCACTTCCCCCTCCACCAATTCAGTGCAATAAAACGCACATGTGCCAGTCTGCCTTCCCCCCTGCCCTCAGCCGTCTCATAATTTCTGTGCGTTTGGCAAATAAATTTGATTTTGAGCGTATTGCCTGCAGATTGACTCTCCCTGTGGATGGAAGGAAGTTAACTTGCGTTGGCTGCCAACTGACATGATTCAGGGTGAATTCTTACAAGGTGACGTCTTCAGCACAGTGCAATCTCTTTCTATCTCCATTCCTTTCTAGCGCTTGTTTCTGTGAGCGTGCTGACTAAGTTATTGGTGCTCTCCAGAGCGGACGACGCCACCTTGTAAATACATTCAGTTTGCCCGCACCCACCCCCACACACAATGCACGCACGCTGCAGTAAGCGTTCTTCGCTTTACGCTCTCCGCTCTCCGCTTGACGCACCCCGCTGTCCTCTCTCCGCTTTACGCTCTACGCTTTGCGCTCTCATCGCTTTTTGCGCTGAGCTCGGCTCGATTTAGCACTCCCCCGCCTCGGCTCGCCGTCAAGCTGTTCGCTGACCTTCTCAGCATTGAAGCGTAGACTCAGCGACAAGCAGCAAAGCGACACACAGACACATAAAAAGGAAATTGAAACCGCATTGCCGTTATAATTTACATATATGTACATATGTACCTACAGATATTCCTGTAACATTTTGGCTGAGGACTGAGGAAATGTAACGAAATTGTTGCTGGTTAGTTTCTGGCAGTTTCCATGACAACTTTTCGGCACCAATTAACGCTGAGGAGAGACTAGGAAAAAATGCCCAAGAAAGTTCTGTGATTGCGCTTCTCCTTCTTCCCTCTGTTGAGCATTATATATGAAAATTTCAAGAAAAATCTAAATTATTTGCCCAAAATTCGCTGTAAAGTCCACAAAAGATTTGTGTTAACGTTTCATGCCGCACGTTTCAGACTGATTTCCGCTTATTATTGATACAGTTTGGTAGCAGAAGTTCGCTCAGCAGCGGCGTTAGACTGCCCGAAACGTTCATTTGACAGATGCTCAACACTCGCCCCAAGACGCCCCAGGGGGGAAGGCAGAGAGCGATAGCCAAAGCGCAGAAGGAGGAGGCGGGAGGCAGTAACAGGAACTGCTATAGAGATATAGATGGGGGGGGAATGGCAGAAGGCAGCAGAATAATTCAATGCAAAAAGGAAACAGCGCCGCACAAGCACGCGCTGATAAATAGAGTGGGAGGAGGAGGGAAGGAATGGGAAATGAAACGGGGAATGGGGATGGAACTGCTGCTAAGGAAGCTGCTGCTGATGGAGGTCACAGGAAGCGCGTGGAAACGGAAACGCAAAGGACAAACACGCCACGGGGACAGAGGGCAGAGGACAGAGGACAAAGGTCACAGGCAGCAGGGCCGGGGGACCCTGAGGACTGAGGTGTTGCGGCACAGGAAAAGCTTCAATCAGCGAAAAGAAAAAATAACACGAACTACACACACATTTAGTGTTTATTTCGCATTTATTGAGAGTCAGGGAGGGAATCAGCAAAGACCGGGAATGGAATCAGCAAGAAATAAATGTCCCTGTCCCCCACCCTCGTACACAATATATAAATTGTTTCCAAATCATTGGATGCGGCCCAGGCCACAGCCAGAGCAAAATACGAAAATTAAATTAAGCCCAACGAGGGGGAGGGGACAGGGAGAAGTGCTGCTGCGGTAGTCGCACTTGGGGCTAACCCTCAAGGCTGCTCCAAGTCAAACTTGTGGCTCAAAATATCTTCGAACTAAGCTGCCACGCAAAATCATATGCTGCTGATTTTAGATGAGGGAATCAGCGTCACAGTCAATGAATGTTTGCTTCAATGGCTGGTCCTTGCACGGGTTTGATGTAGGACTTTGTAGCTTTGATTTATATTTGATGTTGCAGCAGGTCGGGCAAACAAAAGGATTAGGCAGGACCTCGAGGCAGTGCACATTTTGGTTGCCTTTTTCTGGGCGATTATCTTGTCGGTTTGGACATCTTCTCAATCAAAGATTCTTTACATCCCTTTCCCTTTCCCTTTCCCTAAATACACATTTATTTATGCCTTCGCTGACTGCTTTGCCATTTGTATTAAGTGTTTGCACTTAATAAACCCATTCTGCTAAGCTCTCTGCTTCCTGCCACCCCCCACCCCAAGGCCACCCACATTTAACTGTTATTTCAGGCATTAAGAGTTCCCATTGAGTGGCAAGAGGAAGTGAAAACAATTATCTACCGGAAAGGTGAAACATAAATCCTCCAATTCCTCGAAAGTAAATTGCAAATTTTCGTTTATTGCTTTCTGTGTCCCTGCCTCAGCCTCAGCCTCAGCCTCTGCCTCAGGGAGATTTGCGGTTAAATCGAATCGATATTCTGTGTTATCATATTTATTATGCAAACACACTCCTGCGACTGCCTCGAACACAAACGCAATGCCAATTGGTGTTGAGTTGCCAACAAAAAAAAGTGACACACGCGCCCAGCTAAATCCTCCTCCCCACCCACCCACACACACACACACACACAGGGGAGGGAAATGCAAATGGAAATACGCAAAGAGAAAGCCATAGAAACCGCATTGGGGGGTGGGGTGGGGGAGGCTCAGCGCTGAGGATTGGCATCGTGAAATGTATTTTGATTTCGGCCTGGCCCTCAAGTGTGATTGGTATTCGAATTGAACATTCGAGTGGCCTCAGCAAACACATTTTGCACACACATCTGCACACACTCTTACAGGTATCATGGCATAAATATCAAAAATTGTTATTAAAAAAGAAATAAATTTAAAAGTTTTTTAATAGGCTTCCATATCTCATTAAAATATAAAAACACACCAAAAGAAATCTGATTTATTGCAATTACCGAAAATATATTTATTGCGACCATGAAAATATTTCATTTATGGATGAAAATATTTAATTTACACAAAAAAAGTGTTTATTATCATATATTTAGCATATTTTTAATTTATTATTATCATTATCTTTGGGTATCCGAACTACTTTTAGTATTATTAATTAGTTGCGCGATTTATTTCATCATTTTTATTTTGCCTCTGCGTCTGGAGCGGCTTAATTAATGTCTGAAATAATTTTAAATTTCATTTGATAAATATTTAAATGAATTATTAAATATTTACCCACAATTTCAACATTTCCACACGCATAAAATATTTCCATATTAAAATCTTGCTAAATTAACTTACCTATTTAATTTTTTAATATAATTTTTTAATTTAATTTTTTAATTTAATTTTTAAATTTAATTTTTAAATTTAATTTTTAATATTTAATTTTTAATATTTAATTTTTAATATTTAATTTTTTAATTTAATTTTTTAATTTAATATTTAATATTAAATTTTCATTTGATTATTTCTAATTTCAGTTGGTGGCTGAGGGAGGATTAACACATTAAAGGCAACAAAATAGACACAAAAATAATATTATTGGCCGCTTTTATTGTGCAATAAAAAAAAGAGCCAAGCCTAAATTTTCGTGTACAAATAAATGGCGACGATCAGGCCGTAGAGCCCCAAGACCTCGGCAAAGATCAGAATCAGAATCATGCCCACAAAGAGTCGCGGCTGCTGGCCGGTGCACCGAACACCAGCGTCGCCAGCAATGCCAATGGCGAATCCTGCCGCGAGTCCTGGCAAACCCACGGACAATCCCGCGCCGAGATGCACGAAGGCATCGTGAATGCTGTAGGCCTCGTTGATGGAGCCGGCGATCAGCACGGAGACAACCAGCCCGTAGATGGCAATAATGCCGGCCATGACCACGGGTATGAGTGACTTCATGAGCATCTCGGGCTTGGCCACGGCCATCTGGGCAATGCCCATGCCGGACATGGCCGTGCCATAGGAGGCGCCCAGGGCGGGGAATATAATGGCACAGGCGGCGCCAAAGCTGCCCAGAAAAATGGCATACGGCGGACTGGTCTCCTGCAGTCCAGCGTCGTACATGGTGGGATATCCGTTTTGGTTTCAATTATAGATACGGACAGATTGGAGAACTGCCTGAAACTTCCTCCGTCGGTTGCTGTTTACTTCCTGCCTGCTGCGATCAAAGTTTGAACTCTGCCCATTTGTGGTGCCCGAAATATGTTTACAAATGCCACAAAACCATTTTGCTATATTGAAAGTCGATGCTGCGGTTTCTTGTGTGCGCTTTGGGTGGGGTTTGCCTCTTTCCCCAAGCCACTTGTTTCAATTAAGCAAATTGGAAAATATGAACCGCCCACTTTTCAGTGCTTCAGCAGGGAATGCCAGGCGGCAGGGTAAATTGTTTGATTCAAGCTCTGTTCTTGGTATTTATTTTGGTCTGTACAAATGCAACGTGTAAGCTTGAACCAAAGTTCTACTTGGTGTACAAATAAATGGCCACAATCAGGCCATACAGCCCCAGGACCTCGGCAAAGATCAGAATCAGAATCATGCCCACAAAGAGGCGTGGCTGCTGCGCGGTGCCCCGAACGCCAGCGTCGCCGACAATGCCAATGGCAAAGCCCGCCGCCAGGCCTGAGAAGCCAACGGACAGGCCAGCAGCCAAGTGAATGTAACCCTTGCGTATGGTGTACATGGGCGAGAGGGAGCCAGCAATGAGCACGGAGACGACCAGCCCGTAGATGGCAATGATGCCGGCCATAACCACCGGAATGATGGACTTCATGATCAGTTCGGGACGCATAACGGCCATGGCAGCGATGCCAGTGCCGGATTTTGCTGTGCCGTAAGCGGCGCCCAGAGCCGAGAAGATGATGGCTGAAGCGGCGCCCATGCCGCCAAAGAAAAATGCATACGGAGGCCGGTCGGCCTCAGTTATGACGGGCTCTTCGGACATCTTCTGGAGAGTAAATGGGGATTAAAATGGTGCAAAAATACGAGTTTTGCTCTTACAATTATTTCAGTCTCTGTCGATTTTAGGTCGAACTACTGAAAGCGAGGAATGACTTTTGACACAATTCTTATTTGAAATGAAAGGCCTAGCCTGCTGGGATCCAACACTATGTTATTTAACAGTCTGTTCGCTTAACAGCATAGAGTTTGCTCCAGCGGCATGTTAAACGAGCAGCGCGCTAACAGCGAACGAAAACGAAAGTGAAATGCGGCACTGACCTACATTAACATTGTGATCTGCACAGCTATGCTTGGCGGCACACTTTCGCTTTCGTTTGCTCCAGAGGCATGTTAAATTAGCAGCAGGCTAACAGCGAATGCAAACGAGAGTGAGATCTGCATGCATACAAACACACATATGTATATATGCTATTGCTCGGTAGCCACACACTTTTGCTTTTGTTCTTTGCTTTACCAGAGGGAGCGGGAGACGCAAAGCTTGAGCGAATCTCTGCTGCACCGCTCTCACCAAACACTTGCACACATAAGCTCGCTCACTCAGTTTTGCGTTCGTTCTTTTGCAGGTAGACCCACGCTGTTGTTGTTGTTGTCACAGCTTGCAATGAGTTTGGGAGAGCAAAGACGAGCATGAACGAAGGCCGATCCGATGTCTGATTTGGGCTTTGGGCTGCATGCGCATGCACTGAAATCACAGCGCTTTCAATACCCCCCGCGCCCCTCATGTAAAACGGTCAATTAAATTGTGTGCTTACATACATTTACATATATACGAAAAGTTTCAAGTTTGTGGGTTGCAGCACCATGGAAAGCTGTGCCATTCCGTTAGACTTTATTTTTTTTGCATTGTTTTGTTCTTTTTTTTCTGTGAAAGTGGGAGAGTAAGAGTAAACAAACTAATAAGCAAAACATACAAACCAGCAATCGAAGAACGAATAATTATGGTAGCCGGTGAGTCATTATGTTTATAATTATAACTATTTTTTTCTGTTTTCTTTAAGTTTGTTCTATATTTAAATCTTTTTGCATGGAAAAACGAAACGAAATTCAACTTTTGGTAGTCAAAAGATTCCTTTCGCCACTTCTCTAATAAGACATAAAGTCTGTAAGTCCTATGTCTGTCCTTTCACAGTTGTTACGCGACTCCGAGATGTTTTCTATTAAAGATTTATGTCGCGCTGAGGGGCTTGGGCTCCTTTCGGCTTATGTCCATTGTTGGTGTTGCTTTTGCTTGGATTTGTGCTGCTGCTACTTCGTTTCGTTAGTTATTGTTCGGCTCGTTCTGTACCGTTTCGGGCCACTATAAATCGTTGATGTATTTTGTTGAGTGCGAGGATTTATCGCCCGAGCTGAATATGCGAAGAGAATCACACAAATACAAATAAATCAAAAGCATTTCGAATGGCAATCCTCGAGACTGCTCTGGGACTCCGACTGAGAGCGAGAGGGGAATAGTAGTGTTGCTGTCGTGGTTGTTGCTAGCCAGGCTAGACTGTGCTCTGTGCTTTGTGCTCTGTGCGAAAAATTGATGTCTTTGCTCATAAAAATAAGGCATCAATGGGGAGAGAGGCGGCAACATTGTAAATTTTATGACTTTTTTATGCGCTGAAATCTATAAATTATGTAAACTGACACTGACAGCTGTCAACCGAAGGCTCAGTCGTTCCTGCGACAGCGGAACGAACGGAACGAGCGCTGAACGGTTGCAAGTGACACATGTGTCAAATGGTCGATGGGGGGAAACGCGCAGCGAGATCCCACTCCACTCCACTCCACCATCCAAAAGGGAGCTCGAGCTGATGACTCGAGATGATTAAATGATTGCGAGCGGCAATAAAAAATTGATGTTTCGAATTATTGCTAATATATATATTCGCTTCACTCTCCCGAGTGCCAGCCCGTTATATGATGTTTGTTTTGTTTGTTGCTTTTTACAGCTTTCAATTTTCAAGAGAATTTCAGCCAGTCTGGGAACTGCGTCGCTCCATTGTGGGGAATGTGGAACGTGGAACGTGGAACGTGGAATCTAAAATGTGTAAATCCCGTCGCTGTCTTGGCATCTGCCAGCGAAAATATCGATCGAGCGAGTAAACATTTTATAAGCATTTATTCTTGGGGCTATTTCCATGACCTGGCTCACCCTGTCGTATACCGTGGCACAGCAATTAGCAGCAAACCCCCACCCCGGCAGGGCTCCCTTTATTAAAGTAAATCACAAAAGTTCCTGCCAATGTGCAATAAATGAGAGTAGCAGTAACTAACGAAAGAAATTAACCAAAAATAAATTAACTGGAAAGAGCCCAAGCCCCAGCCAGCCACACAAAAGGGTTTCCCCCAGCTCCTGCTCCCTCGCTGGGTGTCGCTCCAAGGGCCCCACTGCGTTGGAGACGACTGCCGCCAAACTGCTGCTGACTTCTGTAGCCACCAAATGTGTTTTCAACATGCAATTTTTATTATTGACTGTCGACTCTGTCCTCTGTCGACTCTGTCCTCTGTCCTCTGTCGAGTGTCGTGCCAGCTCGCAGCTTTTCAGTGTTTTCCGCCCAGCGAATCGTGAAAATGTCATTACTGTCAATCAAGAGACCGGGCCAAAGGTTGCCCCAAACCCAAACCCAAACCGAGAGCATTAAAGCCGTTCCGTTCTGACCCAGCGAAGTGACAAATTGAAAACTTCATTCAAAATTGTAGCAATTTTTGGGCAGAGGGAAGGAAATGGGACTGTCTCTCGTGTCTTAATTTGTGTCAGTTGAAGTGGATTTTTTTCTCCCTATTTCGTTGTGGGTTTTTGCCTCTTTGATTTTGGATATTAGAAGGAGGCGCTGAGGCCTCTGGACAGTGGCTGATATATATTTTATTATGTAGTTTTGTGTCATCGTTAAAATCGTTGGCCATTACTTGATTGTCCTTCATGAGAGGCCATAAAGCCGTCGGCACTTGGTCGGGGCAGAGGCAGTGGCAGTGGCAGAGGCCCATTGTAAAATGATTTACTCGCCTGTGCTCCCCCCGTTGAGGCCGCACCCTGTTGGTCGCTACGCCCACTGCTCCATCGACTATTCACTCATTTTTACGGTCCTTTACAGTTTAACGACACACAAACTGGAGCTGGCAGCGAGCAGTGGGGAGTTGGGAGCTGGAACTAGAAAATTGGGCACGAGTTTTCCTTTTTCCTATAGCCAAATAATGTTTTTTTTATGGCCATTTATGTTTTGCTGCTTTCGATGGGAAAAGCATACGGGAAACATTAGTGGAAAAAACTTTCACTTAAAATGAGAGCAAAAATGAGAGCCCTCGATCGCTGACATCTGCTGGCGATCCTTTGATCTGTTCCCATCGAAAACGAGCCAATAACTTAGCGGCTTTATGAGCTGGAGGATAAGGACCTTGCACAGGTGGCAGGCAGGCAACCAGCAGGAGTCTCAGGGCCAAAGTGGAAGCGTGAAGCCGTTGACATTGATTAGGGTAAGCCAAGGAGCCGTCGGGGTGAGCGTGATGAAAGTGAGACTGCAGTCCACTCGGTGGGGGGAGGGCTCTGCAGCACAATTTTCCAGCAAGGGTTTGCCTTTTGGCCAGTCATGCTGCCCGACGTCTCACGGCTGACTGGCCACGTCTACACATTAGATAAATTAGCCGTAATTTTGTTTGGTTGTCTTAGAGACAATCAAACTTACAGATAGCCAAGAAAAGAGAAGAGAAGAGAAGAAAATGTCTTATCATTGTTAGGCGGGTGGTGGCTGAAGTGGAACAAATGAATTTCGTTTCATTTTAATTATTTGTCTTCTTTTGTGTGGCCAGCCTATAATTTGAGAGCTATTAACTTGGCCCTGGCTGTCGGCCAAACGTTGAGGTCGAAGGTGTAACGCTCTTCTCTCTTTCTCTGCCCCACGCCTCCACCCACTCCAAGTTCTAGTTTCTCCTACCGCAGATGCAAAATATTTCGAAAATCGCGCGATAAGCATTTGGATTACACAAAATGTTGTTACGCAGCCCCTTCCGGATGCTCCCTGCACCACCCCCCTCAACCGACGGGATCGCGTGCAACGAAATTTCACACCCATCGTGCGCTCTTTCGGCTGGAGAGTTTCTCAGTTCTTGGACGGGGGGAGTGGCGGGGGAACGTATGTATGTTTTTTTTTCGGTTGGGAATATCACATGGGCACGCAATGTTTCCGCTGACTGCAGCGCCGGGTCTAAAGTGTCCAATCAAGTTTTTGAAACGAAACCTAAATAACATGTCATAATAAATAACCTTCAAGCGACCCGGGGGCCCACAGGGAAGAAATCCAAAATCCTGTAATTACAACGTAAATCCAAAATGTCTCAGCGCCACACAGCCGTTGCACAGGGCACTGGCCAGCCGTAAGGAAACTTAATTCATATATCAAAAAGTTTTTGCCCGAGCGAGCGATGGACGAGAGTAGCAATTTGCGGGAAGAGCCAAGAGCCAAGAGCCTCCTCCTTCTGCTCTCCTCCTGTCCCACACTTTCGTGGGTGCCTACGAGGAGCCTCTCTTTTTCTTTTTTTGGGCCGCATGCCGTGCGGGTGGTCAGCCAGCAACGGCAGCGGAAACAGTAACAGAGAAAGAGAGAGAGAGAGCAATGGGCAGGGGGAACGGCGCAAAGTGTAACTGGCAAAAAGGAGAACGGGCAACTGGCAACTGTTTCTCCCCCCAAAAGTGTAGCCTGTTGTTGTCCGCCTGTCGTGTCGAATGAGAAACACAGCAATTATGCAATTTGATAATACTTCATTCTCGGGTAATAAATATTAATTATTTCGTTTCTTCTTTTTTTTGCGGTTTGCGAATGTGATTCGAGTTGCGTGTCCCCCCCCCCCCAACCTACAGCCTGCTCACTGAGCGTTAGTTTACGGAGATTTATGGCTGCCTGAGACAGAGAACTCTCCCACAGACGGCTCTCATCTCCTTTCCTAGGTCACCAAGATGCGGGCCATGTTCGAGCCCGAACATGCTTGGAGGTCTCTTTGGTGGCTGCTTCTCTCTGTGGTTGCAGCTACGAGGAAAGTTTCGGGGCCAACAAATTGGTTCGATGTTTGATGTTGGGTCAGCTGGACAGACAGCCAAAGACAAGCCAAAACATATTCCTAGTGATTCAATCAAACTCTGAGGAATTTTGCATGCCACTCTTCTGCTTTTCTGCTCAATCAATTGTGGGTGCAGAGATATTTCTCCTTGGCGCTGCGCTCCTTATCCCACTGTACCTGTGCACTGGCCTGATCCCGCTTAGCCTTTATCACGGGCTTCGTCTGTGCTGGGGCTGCTTGACTTCCAGTTGGTTTGGCTTCCATTTCGTTCCCTGATTCGCCTCTCGTGCATAGGAAACATTTAAATTTTGTGAGCTACTGAAAATTGAGCCGCAACAGCGCCACACACATATATGAGGACCTGCAATAAATAAATAAATAAAAAATAACAGAGCTCTGCCGCTCTCCCTCCCACTCTCCGCAAAGAAATGAAAAAAGTTAAATTGAATTGTGTGTCGCTCGGAGAATATTTACTTCGTGTTTCCCCCCTCTATCCCGTTTCGTGGCACTCGAAGTTGACGCAACTTTTTCGGTTAGTTTTTTGGAAGGGGGGGGGGGGGGGGGGGGGGTGGCTTCTGTTTTTGTAGGTGCCCGCCAGCAACTGTCAAAGTTTTCTGAATGTTTCCATGCCACGGGAAATGGCCGGAAGAGGTGGACAATGGCTGGTAGAAATGGTTGGGCATTTTAGTTAACTATTATTATTATTATTTTTATTTGATTTAAATAAGCCAGTTGAAGCGGCTAGAAGGATTTAATGCGAGTATTTCTTTAATTAGGGAACTCTTTATGGCAGCAGATGTTTCGCCTCTAATTGAAATGAATCCCTAGCAGAGAGTCCTGCAGCAGCTCATCCATCTTCTACACAGTGTAGTGTGTGGAGTATCCTTTTTCGTGGCCAAACCTAATAATTTCCTACGCAGAGAGAGAGAGAGAGAGAGAGAGAGAGCCAACGGGAATGGCCAACTTGTCGCCAGTAAATGGGCTGCTGTCACGTCATTTTGGGTGCTTAAGGACGGTCTTCACTTCATGGGGGGTGGGAAAGGGACGGAACATGAGTCCACAGTGTGAACTCTGACTCTGACTTGTGCCTGGTCCTGCAGTAATCAATTTTAATATACTTCAAAGGGGGAGAGGGTGTGTGTGTGTGTGCCCCTTGTTCATGGTTTGGTTTATGAGTTCATGTTTGATATTTGGTGGCCACATTAAGCCGTACGTCGCCACAACACAACACAACAGAACAGAGAACAGAGAACAGAATGGATACCGACACGTTACGTTAGACAGTCAGTCGCGGTTGTGGTACTTCCATCATCTATGGTCTTGTGGTCTCTGCCCTCCACTGACGAACTGTCAGCTTACTGTCAATATGTCCTCAGCCATCCCATCCCATTCCCCCCCCTGCCATTTGTCAATGTAATATTCGTACAGCGTTTGTGGATGTTGATTTTTGTCATCGTCGTTGTCAAGTGTGCATAATTTTATTCTTTATTCTTTGCGTTTTGTGTTTGACTTTGATGGAGAGACACACACAAACACACACACACACACACACCACCCACTTGTTTACCGCAACCGCGCTTCACGCTCTCTTCCCTTCAAACTCTCCGCTTCACACACTCTACACTTCACGCTCACCGCTCCGCTCCAAACTCTCCGCCTCTTCTAGCACTCTCCGCTTCAAGCTTCCCTCTCTCTCTTGTGCATGTGTGTGTGCTTGCGGTAATAGTTTCGAGTTGAAAGGCAACGTAATGAGCTCGAAGTGTGACACATAAAACATCTCGCATGAGCCACTGGAGCACAAGGAGCTTCCATAACTTCCAGGCCACTGAATGCGAGAGTCTATGGTTTGGCTAGCTTTAGGAATGAGCTGCAGCAGTTCCTCTCTCTGCCAAAGCAATTTCCCCACCTCGGGCTCGGGCATGTGAATAGAATTTTGGAGCACAGAAACCCCTGGGTTAGGGGCTGCTCGAGTGCAAATCAAATTATTTTAATGATACACAAATTGATACTTTGAAACAAAAATAACAAACCAAATGAAAAGGTTTCCAAACGGAACGGAACGGAATGGAATGGAACGAGATGGGTCATGGAGAGCTCTTCCTGGTTGGGTCTGGAATTAAGTGAAAATTGGATTATTTACATTTTGCTTTGTCGTTGTCCTTTGGGGTCCTTTCGGGTTGCAGCCTGAAGCGTGTGCAATTGCTATTATTATGCAAATTTTTGCATGCGTGTTCCTTGCCCGCTCCCTGCTCTGCCCATGGCTTTCTCTTGCTCTCTTTTTGGTTCGCTGCTTTGCCATAATGAGGGACAATTGGAATGTCAATAGCCTGCAATTGTGTGCCAGGTAGCCATCACTCTGCCACAAAACTGAAGCTGCCACAAACACTTTGCTGCCAGAGATGATCAGCTCCAAAAGCCACAGAAAAACAACTAAAAATGAACTCAGTTCGCGCCGACTTTTCACTCAGTTTGAGGTGGGACTTTGGGCCCACAATCCCGCAACTACCCGTAAAAGCACATCGAAATCATTCAGCAAACAAAATTCCCAACGAAACAATTCGAAATCCTTCGGCAATGAACATTTACGCGCTGTCCTTGGCGGCAGCCCTGAGCCTCTTTCTGGGCTACGGCCCGTCGCAGTGTCCGGGCACAGGCGGCGGCCATCGCCATGTGATCCACCTGGACGAGGGCTGCTGGGAGCAGCTGCTGCAGGACGAGTGGATGGTGGGCTTCTGCATGCCCATGGTGGAGAACTGCAGCAGGTTCGAGCGGGTGTGGAGCAGCTTTGCCACGGCCATGCAATGGCAGCAGCCAGGCCTGGCTGTGGCCCGCATGCAGATGGAGTATTCCGGCACGCTTGTGGCACGCTTCTCGCTGCAGCGTCTGCCCAGCATTCTGCACGTGCGCAACGGCACCTTCCGGCCACTGCCCGTGGCATACACCCTCGACGAGTTGCTGCAACTGGCCCAGGGCGAGTGGCGCCAGGCGCAGCCACTGCCCATTTGGCGTCATCCCAATGGCCGGGTCGTAGGCGCCAAAGTGCTCTACCTGCGAGCGGTCAATGGGGTCTACGGCACAAAGTACTTGGGCGGCGACTACAAGCGGGCCACGTTCCTCGTGGGCCTGGGCAGCTTTCTGCTCTTCTCCACAAGCCTCACGGTGGCCAGCAGTCTGTACGCTCTGGCCAGGGACAAGTTGATGGCAAAATAAATGGCAATCGATTGGAAATTCATTTTATTTGTCACACGGCTGGCTGCCGGTCCGCGTTCGCGGCAGCCAGCTTCGTTTTCTGGTAGCCATAAACGGCCATGGAGAATATTACGAACAGCGCTGCGAGGCGGCGGCACACACTTATTGTGAGCCTCAAATAATATTCAGAAATACTTACCCAGTGGCAGGATCAGCCAGTGTATGACGAGTGTGCTCAGGCCACAGACAACTATCGAAGAGCAAAGCAAACAGCGCGAAGTCTGTGGCGAGGCAATCAGAATGCCGGCGAGCAGCATGAGGCCGGAGAGCGTGAAACCCGCGCCGGAGAGGCAGCCGATTATCTTGATTGTCGCTGCCAGTTGTTGTGCCCTAACCAGGCCCAAGACTTGATCTGAAAAGGATCAGACTCGAGTTTAGGAGCTCCAAGTGGTCGTTCTTCAAGTTTCGTGTACCAATCAGAAGCAGTCCGAAAATGATGTTCCAGCAAGCCCACAAGAGGCAGACTCTGAGCGTTGAGCACTTGCAGAGGGGCAACAAAAGGCACATTATTATTATTGTAGTAGGAAAAGTGCTGACATGAGAGGGAACGAACACATTTTGACAAGGATTTGATGTGGAATTTGTCATTTGTTGCTGTAACTTCTCAGTGGCCAAACATCGCCTTGATGGTGCAGTAGAATATATTGCCCGGCGTCAGCAGGGCCATGCAGATGACTTGATAGAACGCTCTCTTCACGCACTCGGGCTCATTGCCAAAGACGATCAGCACAGCGTTGGGCACCAGCTCCTTGACGGCGTTGATCAGGTCCGCCAGTTGTGGCACCAACTTCGCGAGGCAGTCGGGATACGGAAAGAAGCCAAAGGGCGTGTCGCAGGCGTTCACGGCCTTGGTTCGCTTGATGACATTCCACATGACCTGCTTGGCCAGCTTGTGTTTGCCTCTCTTTAAATTGATCGAGCGTTTTGTGGTCGTGCTCCTTCTCGAGCTTGTCTTGTTTTTGCCCTTCTCCTCTGAATTCTCCTCTGAATCCTCGCAGCTGATGAGTGACTCGAGGAAATTGTGGCAATCGCGTCGCAGGTTGGCCACAATGTTCATGAAGCAGCCGTAGGAGGGCTCACTGCAAAGATCCTTCGCAATCCTCTCCATGTCCTCGTCGCTCACATCCGAAACATTCACGGGATCCGGCTCCGTGGGCTGGCTGGTGAACGGTGGATACGAGCTGCTGTCCTCTTCCCTAAATTTGGGTTTATTCTGGCTTTAGCTTTGCTGTGTGTTTCGAGGGTTTGTGTTGTGGCTTACGTTGTGCCCTGCGTTGTGGTCTTGAACCTTCTTCTTTTGACATATCTTTTGGCTTTTCTCGTCTGCAAGTGGCAGCTGGGCAGCACTGCCAGCAGCACCAGGAGCGGCAGTAGTTTCATTTCCGGAGTGTCGCGCCACTCTGCTGCGGCTTGGGCACTGCCAGAAATCATTCTGCAATGCCAATTGTGGCATTTGTTCTGCTAATTATTCATGGTGTTCGTTATGCATTTTCAGGGTCAAGTTCAGCGCTGGAAATGCCATCAGAAACAAGCAATATTTGAGTCATAATCCGCAGCCAAATTGCCACAAAAATGTCTACCAAATATGAGTATTTCTCAGCCTAAAACCCAAGAAATTGAAATGCAGAAACTAAAACTACAAGCAGGATTCCTGCGCCGAAGGGGAGGCTGGAGGTGGCATTAATTGCGCATACGACACGTGGCACCACTCGGCCAGCTCTTGGCAGGCACACAATGTTCCGGGCTGTCCTCCAATTCCCCTTCATTTATGACGATAAATGAGTTTGACTTTGCCCCACTTGAATATTTATGAATTATTTTTGGGGCTGATTTTTGAACAAATTAATTTTTGGCGTTGAATTTTCGTGCTATTTGCATAATCCAAAGCCCGGAGCTGGAGCCGAAGCTGCAGCAGGAAGAGGGGAAGGCGGGCATCTGCGGGTAATATTTCAAATTGTCGCAGCAGCAAAAACCCTTTTGGCCTCCCTTTTTTATAGATATGCCCACGGGCATGTCCCTTAATTTATGAGCAAGCGCAGGTAATTTTTATCTTCTTGGCACACGCTGCGCATACGTGATAAATGGGAGACAATTTTCATTATTTTCACTTTGCATTGCCCGGAAAAAGCGACTTCAATTGACAGCTCCACAGCGGCCATTTCACTTTTCAACAAACAAAACACGCAAGAAAAGGGTCCAGATGGAGCCCGAAAACCTCCGCAAAGAAAAAGTATTTTATGGCCAAAAAGAAGAGCAGCAAAAAGCAGTTCGAAGCGCTCAAAGCACCGGCGGCCTGAGGATGTCCGCAACATGATCAAAGCCCCGCTTGGTGCACTTGTGGCTGGCCAAGCGACTGGCAAAGTCCACGGCCACGGCCAGGGGTCGCTCCCTCACATAAATGGCATAGATAAAGGCCGCCGTGAAGGTGTCGCCCGCGCCCAGAGCATCCACCACTTTGCGTGGCCTGTGCGCCGCCGAGAGAGTGTACTTGCCCGACTGCTCCAGGATGCCAGCGCCCTGGTCGCCCCAAGCAAAAATGACAGTGGGACGCTTGAGGTGGAGGCCGCGGCGCGTGCGCAGCTGCTCGTCCACCTGGGCGCAGGCAAACTGCAGCGTGGGCCAGTGCTGCTCCAGTGCGAGTGTCCTGGAGCAGATGACATAATCGCAGAGGTCAAGCAGCGGCCACATCAGCTCCAGGTCGCGGCTTGGCGCCAGCGAGAGAATGATCTTGTCTTCACGTGCCACATTGAAGGCCGCCACTTGCTGCATCATGGCCCGCGTGGTCTCAACGCAACTGCCGTCCATGTGCAGCCAGCCATAGAGCTTGAGATCCAGCTGCCGAAAGTCCTCAATGGCAGCGTGGGGGAACTGCCTGCTGCAGCTGAGGAGGGTCCGCGTCCGCGTGGACTTGGCCAGGATCACGGAGGAGAAGGGCGGCGCCTGCGCGCAGCTGGGACAATGCTCAATGTGGATGCCACGCGAGCGCATATCCTCCGCGATCAGGCGATACATCTGCAGGCTGCTCAACATGCCAAAGAACTCGCAGGGAACGCCCAGCTGCCGCAGCACCGTGCAGTTGTTGGAGGCAGCGCCAGAGCCCTGCCAGTAGCCAGCGGAGCAGTGCGCCTGCTGCTCGGGAAACTCCTGCACGATGGACACGTAGTCCATGGCTGCGATGCCGCTGCACAGCACCAGCTTCTTGCCCGCTGCCCAGCTGTGCTTGTGGCCTCTCTTTGGGGCAGACATTTCGCTACAAATTTGGAGCCAAAAAGTGGGGAAATTTTGTGACTTGCTCGCTTGATCCTTGGCTGTCAAAATGTACACGAAAATTGCTTAGAAAACTGATCGAAAAATTGCTAGAAAATTCCCAAAATGAGCCACCCTAGCGCCCTCAGCCTGCAGCAGTGCGTGCTCTGTGTGGGCTGCACGGAGATCGCCTACGTCTCCAGTGTCGCGCAGTTCCCGGCGCGTGGTGCCCGTCTGCGCTGCCAGAGCGCCTTCATGCAGCGCACTGGCAGGACCTCCAATGTCTGCACCGCCCTGCGGCTGCTCGGCGCACGCGTGGAGCTCTTCGGTGTGCTCAGCCGCTCAGGAGCTTCCTTCCGCTTCCTTGTGGATGATCTGCGGCGCAGGGACATTGACTTCAGTCACTGCCCCTGGACGGACGAGAGTCCGAGCTGCTCCAGCATCATACGAGAGCGCGAGACAGGCACGAGCACGGTGCTGCGTTGTGGCAAACTCTTTCCCTATGTGACGGCGAAGCAGTTTGCTCAGTTGGATCTCTTCCTCTATGGCTGGGTGCACTTCGAGGCGCGGCATGCCCGCGAGACGGTGCTGATGATGCGCCGCGTGCTCGATCACAACAATGGCCGCGCGGAGCAGGACCGCATTGTGGTGTCGCTGCTGGTCTACGATTCCCTCGAGGACCACTTGGATCTGCTCAGCCTCTGCGACTTTGTGGTCTTCGGACGACTCTTGGCCCTGCAGCTGGGCTGGAGCTCGGCCCACAACGCCTGCGAGCAGCTGAACAGCGCTCTGAGGACTCCCCGCAGCATCCACACGCGTCGCCCGTGCATCATTTGCCCCTGGGGCAGCCAGGGAGCTGTGTGCATGGATGCGCGGGGCAAGCTCTACGAGCTGCCCGCGTACAGGCCCCGGAAAATTGTGGATCGCCTGGGCGATGGCGAATGCTTCACCGCGGGCTTCATTTATGCGACTTTTGTGCGTCGCCGACACCTGCCCGATGCCGTGGACTTTGCCAACCTCGTGGCCAGTCACAAGATCGCCAGCGTGGGCTTTGACGACATTGCCCAGCTGCGTGTCAGTCCGCGGAAGCTGCTGCCTGTGCCTCTGCCCGACAGCGAGGTGTCCTCGGAGGACGAGCAACTCTCGCACGAGCAGCGACTCTGCAGAAAGTATCTGAATCGACCGATACAGCTGCAGGAGTCGCCTGGAATTGGGACTGGAACTGGAACTGGGACTGGGACAGAGCCTGAGCCAGCATCGAAGCCCATGTCGGAGCAGGCGGTGGAGGCGGCCTGGGAACGTTTGAGTCGAACGGCGTATTGAGAGATACTTTTGCTCTTTCACGGATTAAATTTGCAATTGCAACTGGCAATTAGTTCCCGTTTGTGGCTGCAGCAATCAGCAATCAGCTGATCTGTGTTCAGTGTTGCAAAACTTCATGCGAAATTGCTCAAATCTGGTCACTTCTCGCAGCCAAAGACTGCCCAGACTTTAAGGACTCTTTCTGTAAATATTTAAGGCCAAAAAGACTCGGAGAATGTCTGCATTTATGTGCGGGGGGAAAGCACTGGCCACAGCATAATTGCCACGTGATTAATTCTGAAGTCAGGGCAAGATAAATGCTAATAGATGTACAGCAGGAACGCTGGGCAGGAGGCGCTTCCTTGGGTCATTTATCATTTCGGACAACAGGCAAAGGCAGCGGCAGGGCAGTGACAATTTTCCATACATTTCCATTTCCATTTCCATTTGGCCACACGGCGGATGAGCGATGATGAAACATTGTTGGGGTCGAGCTTTAAGCGAAGATTATCAGCGGCAAAACGATAAGGGGATAAGCCACATAAAGCAGTCGGAGACAGGGCAGAGCTGCAGCTTCCACACACTCGAGCGACCGGCATGGCATTTATGTAAATTACAAATTATTTCGGCTCTAAAAATGCAAAAAGGGAAATTGTTTTTGGCAGAGGCAAAGGCAGAACCCACAGGGAGACAGCCACACAAAAACAAGGCGGACACAGCGCGGGTCCTGGCACTGTTAAGCGGATCTCTAGCAGATAGTTATTGTTATTGCAACGAGCGGCGAGTAACGAGCAGCGAGCAACGAGCAGCGAGTCCAGCCAAGCAGCAACCGGAAATGGAACAGCAGGAAGCAATGAAGAAGGAGCTGTAAGGGTTGCACCCTGCCAGTTGGATACAGAGCTTAAAGTTGAAGCCGCCTTCGATTATGCAGTTGGGCTTCGGTTTGTGATTGGCAAATCCAAGTAAGGGGCAGAGAGGCAAATGCAGCCTGTGCCTGGCTGCCACTTTATGCCACTTGCACGCAAATTTCGCTTGGCTTCGCATGGTACATGACGCAGACACAAGATGGCGTCGCGCCCATTTCCGGTTGATGGGGCAATGGCGCGATTATCGTCAGACGGCCGGGGGGGGGCAGCGAAGGGCATCGACAGAGGCGAAGGCTGGCGAAACTGCTGCCGCAGCAGCAAGCTGCAAAATAAGCCAAAAATATGCGTTATCAAGCTGAGCCAATAAAAAAAAGGGACGGACACACACTCGCGGACGGACACGGACACGGACACGAACACGAAGCGAGCGCACAGCTGGAACTGCACCGTGGTTGCAGTCTTGGAGCTTGGAAATGGGAACACAATCTCTGTACACATTTTATAGAGATTTTCCATTGCTTTTTCGCAACTTCTGCGCCACTGTGCGCCGTTGGTTGCATTACTTTGCATAAGCAAAGAGGGAGCTGGAGCGGGTCTGCGCACTCCAGCTGTGTGTGTGTGTCAGGGGTTTGGAGTTGGTGCCTCTACTTAACCATAAACTGTTCTTCCATGGTCATGGCACATTATTCTCATTTATGTGGCGGAGGCAGAAGGATCCACCAGCAGCCAGCAGGGTTAACCTTTGCATAAATAGCGGCGGGAAACTCACTTAAAGTACAGCCCAAAGGAATCGCTCTCTGAGCTGAAACAACAATCGGCAGAGCTTCGATTTTGCTTTGATTTTCCGGTAAATGAAAGCCACAAGAGTGCGCCTGAGGGGACTCACTCGATTGGGTTTGAAATCTTCGCTGATTATTACGCTCATTAAATGGCAAAACATTCCACATTACTGCCTCTCGCTTCGTTCCAGGATTTGTTATTATTTTTGTGCTTCGCTGAGTTTTCGCAGTTGAAGTTCCCTTGCGGAAAGCGTGGACTAGAAGTCATTGGTTGTCCGTTTACCCTTTGAAATTCATTTGTTATTTTGTCCCAGTGGGACCCAGGATCCTGCTGCTGTGAAATGATTGATGAAGCTATCGATTTTCCAGGCTTTCATTTGAGGCTGGCTCTGGCCGCTAACAAGGACATCAATCATGGCAGTGGCACAGTACCTGAAGTGTCGTTCCTAGAACTTAATTTCGCTCATGGACTTTTTATGCGGCACTTTTAATGAGCTCGTAAAGCGACGAGCCACGCCCCAACCTGTTGGCTCTCCGCTGGCCTTGCCTCCTGCTCGTTTTTATGGCTAGTTGGATGCTGTATTAGCATAATTTATGTATGAACACGAAACTACTAAGCACACAGTTTGCCAAGTGGCACTCCGCCCTGCTGCCAGGTAATAAAGCAATCGCATCTCCCATTTAATTGCCGCCACTCAAACGGTGTGTGGGTGTCCCCTAGCTGCCTGTCAGTGGGTGTTGGCCAGTTTTTGGACCAGAGTTCATTCATTTTTCCGTCTTTTAATTGATTTTGATGGGGCAACTCTTCAGCGACAGGAGGCAGAGTGCCCAACACACACCACAAAGCAGCTACAAAATGTGTTGCCACCCCGCAGCGTTGCCACCAAGTGGGCCTACAGTGGGCCAAAACGAAGACTCCACTGCAGCTGCACAGTGGTGGGGAGATTTTAATTCGAAGTCCAAAATATGAGCAAAGGCAGGGAACATTTTAATGCATAAATGCATTTGATTTATATGTAGAAAAATATTCGATTTTTGAGGTTTCTTGGAGTGAAAGGCAGTAAATATTGGGTTTAAAATGAATATTTTAATGTAAATTCTGGCATTAAGTCTGCAGGTTTTTGCCCCAAAAAAGCCTTCGATTATCCTCCGTTGCATGGCAAACGATTTTCAGCGCGAGCACAAGGATTCAAAGTGATTTTTAATACGAAAATATTCGGCCTAAACTTAATATTAATTCATGGAAAAATGTATCCACGTTCGGGAATATTTTCTGGAACTGATTTCTGATACTCCCCTTAGCACCCGTTCCATGGCAAAAGATTTTCTGCGCGAGTAAAAGGAGTAAAAAGGAGTTTTATGTTAAAATTCTCGTATTTCTACCACAGTTTTCTGCCCAAGAGTTTCCTCGGCTATGTTCCGTTCCATTCCACTGTGCCGCTGGGTTGGTGCTTGGCTTTTTGGTGGTGACCCTGCAGCTATTTTTATGCACAAACCCGTTAAAATTTTAGCGCACACTCCAAGCCATGACCACTCGAAGCACACACACAGAGGATAAACACACACACACACACACAGCCACACACAGCCACAGTCATAATCGTAAACTAGTGATGGCAGCCTCGAAATTTAATGTGTGGAGCCAGACCTGTGCCAGGGAGAGCTGTGCCTGCGCCCGTTCCATGTTCCAATTTCCGCGTTCCTGGCTGGGCATAAATTAAAGCACCGTTAAGCATAAGCTCGCCCAATTACCAAAGTATCCTTGGCCATTATATTTACGGATTTATTATAGTGTTGACTGCCATTCCGAGTCGCTGCAACACCCAATGGGCTGGCATGGCCTGGCACGGCATGTCATGGCTGGCAGCCTTTATCGGCTGCTCTGTCGTTTGTCATGTTAATTTAATGATTTTTTTCTGGCACCCGGAGCCCATCAGCGTTTCGGTTTTTATGCTCCAACGACTCGTCACAGAATGCACGGCCAGCGGCCAATAAGTATGCTATATAAATGATGTGTGCGTGTACTTCCTGTTTGTACTGTACACGCGGGGCCCCAAAGTTGTCACACATTGACGTGCCAAAAGATACTTATCGTGGGCAGCGTGTAGACAAAAAAAAAAGGGGGAAA